TGGGACCCGGTCCCCGCCCGGCGATCGTCTCTCGATCCGACGCGTCAGATAAACTATTTGATAAATGGTCGGCGCGGGAGTAAGTTGGGTTATTTATCAGGTACCCGTGTTCCCAGGTGTGTACGGTGACACGCGGTGAGAGGCCGAGTGGGCTGCTAGTGTGAGAGATCTGCCGGCTCGCAGCCACACCGGTAGCTGAGTGGTCGCTCGTCGATGGAACTAATTGTGGGTTAATGAGAGGAGCCGTTGTGCCAGTAATCACCAGATGGGTGCGCGGTGAAAGCCGGCCTGGGATAATGCACCCTCGTTAGACGTGGTTGTTGGTGGTCGTCTCTGAACAGCACGTGCTTGTTTTGATATTGAGATGTCGAGTCGTGTGTGTTGATAGGACGTGGATAGGAGAGGACCCTTCGATTTTATTGCTTCGAGCTCATTCGTTGACCAGGTTGATTGCACTTATACTCTATTGCTTCGAATTTATTCGGTGATTGACTTCAGCTTTCTCAGGCACTTTCTTTAATTACCGTATGACCTCGGTTTTGAGCAATCTGGACATCTCGTTCATTGTTTTGACACGGCTTTCAGCTGCTATCTTTACGTCTGGCAGCATATCTAATTGATTTGGCCGACGATAATTGTCGGAACAGCCAGTCGTCATGCACATGCACTGAAAGCCGGACTGTGAGCAGTGATGTAATTACCGGCCGGCCTTGGTAGTAAAAGGCGGGGAAACCACCGCCACTGTCGGCGGAGCGGGGCGAGGATTCAGCGGCGGGTGTACTGCGTGGCGGACAGACGTCGGTACGGCCGCGCTGCCGGGCGGTGCGGCCTGCCGTTCCGAGAACACTCCCGACCGCCGAGCGGCACCCTGTCAACAAGTGCTCAGCGTGTTCTGACACCCGGGATTCCTGGGAGACCGCTAATGATTCAGCGGCAGTTGTAATTGGGTCCGTGTACGGATTCTTGTTGGTGATGGGTCGTGAGGACTTTAGGAAATGTCAAAAGAGTGAAAGGAACAACTCCGCGTGACTGGTTGGACTTTTATGAGGCATTCGTTCCGTGGTCATGATCAGTTCATTTCTAGGTTTTATGAAGTCGATTTCAGAGCAAGCAGTAACTTTCAATGAACTAAGACAAGCTGGCAATCAAAACCAGCCTGTCGGTGCTCCAGCCTCCCTTCTCCTCCTCTCTCCCACAGTCCCCTGTTTGCTGGCCCGGCCGCCAGGGCGGCGCCACGGTCGCCGGTGCCGGTCCGCTGCGCGCCCATGCAGCCGTGCCGGCCGGCCGGCCGGCTGGCGGTTGCCACAGCGGTGTTGGTCCGATTGTTGCATTAGCTGGGCCGGCGGATGCCGCGCGGGATACGATGGCCGTGATCGGCCCGCTGCTGTGCCAGTGAATTTGGCCCGGCTGGGCTCCGAAATGGGCCGCAATGACGAGATAATGGCGGTGGTTGACAGCGGGTCTTTTTGTGCTAGTGGCCGTGCCGGATGAGAGATGTGTAAATTAGGATTGTGCTGCTGTGGATGTGTCTGTTGTTTTCAGCGACTTGTTGTGTTGTGCGTTGAAGGGCTCCCTCAATGGTGCGTCGGTGTCAGTTGGGATTTTCAAACTTGGTGTCGCGTTGATTGCGCCACGCGTTTTTACATCAGCAAGGACATCTGGTCATGCAATCTTTTGTTTAACTACCGAATAACCCAAGCATACTTTTTAACTACCGAAAAACCCAGGCTTTTCTTATAACTGTCGAAAAATACAAGCGTGCCAGTGACCCGTGCATGCAGTCTATCTGTATAATGACCTTACAATTACATTTTGGATAGCTATTTGCTACCCTCTTGAGCATCCACTGGCCTCTTTCCAGTCGTATATCTGTACCATGTTCGTCATTTTCACTCGCTGCAGAACTCACCTAACTCGGTGTGTTTTCTCTCCGCTTACAGCGAGTAACCCGATGGACAGTAAGCGTCGAGCGGAGAGCTGGAAGAAGAACCGGCGCGCGCTGGCCTACTCGGCAGTGGGCACGCCCGACTACATCGCGCCAGAGGTGTTCCGGCCGTCCAAACAGGACAAAGGTGCGCGCACTTCCCGTGTGGTGTTTGCTGAGCCAGCTCATAAAGTCTGGACCCTAACAACTAACATCAGTCTGTGCGAACTGTGTGCTGTTTGAGAACAAGAATGGTAACAAACTCATAATACTCATTCACTCACAGTGATGCATGCGTCCGTCACGCATAGAGCTTACATAACGTTGGTTGCAACTCCAGAAATGTAATGTTTTGTTTCAATTTAAGGTTTGCGAAATTACAAAGGTGGCAATCCCTCTCGGAAGTCTGACTAACCGGGCTGTTGTCCGTTGGTGTGAACCTGGAACTACGGGTATATCCGTTTTTATAACTTAGGCACGAATGGACTTAATGTTCTTAAGAAGGAAATCGTATTACTGTAATATGACTTGTCACTGTTCAGTGATTTCTGAACTGTCTGTGAATACTGGGCGGAGGCTGGAAATGTGATGACCGTGTTTGTTTTTCTCGGCAGTGTTCCAGCCGGCCGGCTACGGTCCCGCCTGCGACTGGTGGAGTCTGGGTGTCATTATGTACGAGATGCTGATCGGTGAGTGCTCAGCTACTGGGACACAGATTACGGTGACGTCGTCTGCTCTGGTGTGGTGGGGTGCTTGTTAATCAGATATAAGATCATTTTACCGCTGATGTTCTGCGTAAATAGTTTTTGGTTGCTTACGCGTAATGAGAACGTTTGCACTTGGGATACGCTGCTGGTGGGGTCTACCGTCTAAGCATAGCAAGCTGAGTCCCTTGGACTATGTAGGCGCGCTGTCCCCCGAGATCCTTCCTGTGTCCGTCACGCGCGTCAGATAGGTGACCGCGCGCTAGATCGCTGACCCTGGCTGCTCTCTGTCGGCAGGCTACCCTCCGTTCTCCAGCGAGTCGCTCCTTGAGACGTACAAGAAAGTGATGAACTGGAAGGAGACGCTCGTCTTCCCTCCAGAGACACCCATCTCCGAACAGGCGCGAAACACAATCATGATGTGAGTTCCATCAGTTAATCAAGGTCGGCAGTGCTGGGCCGTGCTGAGAACTCGGGGACGTGTGCGTTTGTTGTGGATGGTGACCTGGGCCTCGTTTCATAAGGCGAGTCCGTAACTTACGCCGTTTTTTGGGCTTGTATTGCAAGCCCATGTGAAGCGATAAATTCATTTCCCCTTCTCCCCTCTGTTCTTGCCTGCAAACTAAATAAATTCGACGATTCAAACTATCGTCATCGGTTCACATGCACTTGCAATACAAGACCAAAAACCGGCGTAAGTTACGGACTCGCTTTATGAAACGAGGCCCTGATTACAGGGTCGCACGTGGTGTTGTCCGAGGGAAGGAACAGAATGAGTTCACGACCGGTGTGAGCGGCGTGCAATGTGTCCCCCTGCCGCTGGGGCCGGGCTCTGTTCGCCGTTCGGCCACCACTCAGAGGCCGGGCTGTGCGCGGTGTGGCTGTGTGCCGACCGGCTGACCGGCCGCCCAGTGAACCGTTACCGCGGCCGGCCGGTCGACTGTGACGGCCCTGCTGAGTCAGCCGGCCGGCCGACGCCAGGTGGTCAGACCCTGGAGTGGGGCGGAGCTTTGGGCCGGCCCGGGTATTCGTGAATGGCCTAGGGCGGCTCGTCGAGCTGGACCCCAAATGTGCTGATATTGTTCATACTTCCATGTGGCTGTTAAACTGGCTTTCAGTTTGCATCTTGGAGTTGGCCGCCAAGCTTCCAACGTTATCCCGCATCTCTCAGCCCAAATTGATCCATCCAATGTTTTGTCGCCGAGTACTCCAAGTCTGCTCCCCGCCCACCGCTGACGGTCGCCCCATCTCTCTCTCCCTCCCCAGGTTCTGCAGTGAAGCGGACGTGCGGCTGGGCTCCAAGGGCCTCCAGGACGTGAAGTCGGTCGAGTTCTTCAGGGGCGTCGACTGGGAGAACATCCGGGAGCGGCCGGCCGCCATCCAGGTGGACGTCAAGTCCATCGACGACACATCAAACTTCGACGAGATCCCAGACGTCGAACTCGCCATACGTAAGGAATGGGGCCGGTCGGAGACTGGGGGACCGAATATCGCTGTATTTTGTAGGATTGTTTGCGGTTTAGTGCGTAACGAGTTGTACGTAGTATGCCTTCGAAAGCCATCCATTATGGTACATGTAGACTTAAGCTATGCTCATAGAGCTAATATTTAGCAGCTCATAAACCTCTGTTTACCAGTATATTTAGGCATGTGGCAGACGCATCCCTCGTGACACCCACCGGTAACACCCATCTGCTCTTCATTTCACAGCGACTCCGCCGCCGGACAAGGAGGGCGAGCCGGGCTGCAAGGACTGGGTGTTCATCAACTACACGTTCAAACGGTTCGAGGGGCTGACGCAGCGGGGCGTGGGTCGCTCCAGCGCCAACTGACGCGCCCGGAGCGCCTGCCTTACAGCGCCCCGACTGATCTCCGACTCGCGGCCGCGCGCGCGGCCACCGGGCCAGCGCCGAACTGTCAGCGCGAGTCGCGTGCCCCGTACACTCTGTGATGTGTCCTTGCGCGGACGGACGAGTGAGAGTGAGTGAGTGACGCGAGTGTGACAGAGTGAGAGCCGAGTGAGCTGCGCGAGTGCCAGTGCGCCCGAGTCCGCCGCGGTGCCGTGTGTGATGCGCGCCGCCCCCGTATTTAATCACGCGTCGTGTGCCGACTGTTGAGAGGCCGCCCGCCGCGCCGCCGGGCGGGCGCCGGCCGCGTGTGAGCGGCTGTGATCCGACGGGAGCGGGCTCGTTCTCCGCCGCGCTCCTGGTGCCAAACGGGCCGTCCGTCCGTCAGCAATAGGGGGGCCGGGCCGGGCGCGCCGCCGCCGCACACCACAGCGCCCCGCCCCGCGCGCACGGACAGACCCATATCAGAGTGTAGAATCCGACTAGTCATGGTATGCAAGATGTTATGAATAATACATAGAGATGCCGGTTTGTAAAAAGGTGTGTATTTCCTGCATAAAGACTACGTAACAGCTGGGCACGCCTGGCGCCATCTAACAACAATATCAAATCTGACTACGGATGATCAATGATCATGGACTCAGGTACGATCTGTCGCCGGAGACATCCTACTGGAGCTAGCCGCGAGACCTCACACCGTTTCTTCGGAAGGGCGCCCGACGACTACTAGGGGAGCGGGCGGTTCACATCACATCACAGTTCTACTTTGACTAAATCTCAGCATGACTGACTAAAAAAGGCATAGAAAAGGCGATGAAGACTATTTCACTCGCAGTCTAAAACACTGCGATGAAGCGATCGTGTTCTGAGGATCTTCCGACCCAAGCTAAGGCGGAATGTATAAAACAAATACCAATCAGGTACACCCAACTCAAGAGTATGGCAGTTGTCCAGAGAATAACGGCAGTAGTTCAGCTCCAACAGACTCAAGGCCGCATCACGGTTTACCAGGCTCGAGATTCGACTCCAGACCGGCTCCACTGGTTCCCCGTCCCAATCAGAAGCCCATGAAGTCGCTGTCCTCCCCGGAGCTGGCGGCGGCGTCGGCGGCCTTGGCGAACGGCTGCTCCTCGTCAGAGGTGAGGTCATCCTCTCGTATGGGCGCCTCGCCGTCCTCGTCGGACCCGGAGCCGGCCGTCTCGCGGTAGTTGACGGCCGCGGTGCGCGCGGAGCGGCGCCGCGCGGCCCGAACGGCCGCCGGGACAGCCGGGTCGGGGGACGGCGAGCGGCTGGCAGGGGAGGCCCGCCGCGCGCGCCGTCGGGCCGCCGGCGCCGAGCGGCGTTTGCGCCCGGCCGGCGCCGGACTGCGGGCGGCTCCGTTCGTCACGGCCGGACTGAGTTTGGCCATCACCGCCGCGCCGAACCGGGCCCCGGTTCTGGCGGGTTTGGCGTCCTCTGCGTCCGAGCCGGCCTCACTGTCCGAGCTGAGCGCCACCCGGCGCAGCCCCATACTGGCCATGGAGGCCTCCACGCGGCGCGCCACCTCCTCCTGGGTCTCGGGCACCTCCTCGTCCTCCGACCCGGCCCCCTTCGGCTCCTCCTTGGGCTCCACCTTCGGCTCCTCCTTGGGCTTCCGCTTCGACTCCCGTTTCGGCGGCTGTTTGGCCCCCTGCGTCGCCCGCATCATAGCGCTCACCTTCCCTGCTAGAGTCGGCTCAGACTTCACCGCCGTTTTCGCTCCCGACTGTGCCGGCTCCACCTTGGGCTCAAAGTTCGGCAGCAGCGGCCCCGGCTCCGTCTTGGGGCCCGGACCGGGCTTGTCGGCGGTGTGAGCGCGGGCCTTTTTGCTGCCGTCGGGGCGGTGAGCTCCGGCCGGCCGTTTGGCGCCCGGCTGCTCGTCCTGGAAGTCGTACTTCCTGGCGAGCCGCTGCCGGATGAGCAGGCCCCGCACCAGGCGGCGCCAGTTGTCCAGAATGCGCTTCTCCCGCTTCTCGCGCTGTCGGCGCCGGGCCTCCCGCTGGTCCTGAGGAGCGGGCAGCGAGGGGGAGGTTAGATAGAAATCGGGCAGCGAGGGAGGGTTAGATAGAAATTTAAGTGTGTCTTTGGGCCACAAATTCGTCACGTCTTCGGCTTCCCCAGTCGAGTCTCACTAAAACCTTCACAAATATGACAGTCACGACGATCCGAAGGCAAGGACGTCCAACAGTGCGCCCGTCTGCCGGACTGAGTTGGCAGTCACGACATGCGCTTTCAGACACGATTTTATCACAGAGAAACAGGCTTATGTAACGCAAACTACACTGTAAACTACACGCATGCCCAAGCCTCTATGCTATGCACACTGGAGTTATAAAAATGCTGATCATTGCAGAATAGCGGGTAATCTATCTGAAATCAGCTCGCCGGGGTAGCGGCGGCGGAAGGGGGAATATAATGCGCCATATCGCCTCCCAAGCAGGAAGGGGATGCAATCGCCACATGGCGCCTCCCACGCCAATTGTGGCGTGGGAGGAAAAGAAGGGTAGGAAATAGGGATGTGATCGCTCCTTACCGCCTTCTACGCGGGGAGGGGTGGGGATGTAATCGCTCCTTACCGCCTCCCAGGCGTCCATGAGCGTATCCTCGAACTCCTCGCAGACGACGTATCCCTCGAAGACGGGGTGCGAGCCGCCGCAGTGGTAGTCCCATCCGACCATGGCCGGCGCGCAGTCAATGCCCAGCCGCTTGGCCACCCGACTCAGGCCCTCCACTGCGGACAGCAGGCAGTGACACACCGTCAACACAACACAGTCAACAACGAACAAACTTGACCCGCAGAAAACGACAGTGTCAAATGCTACGAGAGTTGTAAAGGCACGACACATGAGAGAAAATTCGTGATCAGCCGTAAAACCGGTGAAGCGGGCGCGGGCAAGGTGGGTCCGTGGTGTCATTCGCAACAAGCACTGCTTAGCGGGGCACCCGGGCCCATAGCCACCCATTCATCCATTCGGACAAAATTTCTTTAAAAAAAAAACATTTCCCATTTCAGGTGGTTCACAAAGCCACAAAAACAAGCTTAGCCTTTACCCAGGCTAAAAGTTGATTCCCCAACTCTGCCTCACTAGTCACTATTGTCATGTCGCTGCTGCCTTTCAGCAGTTCCCTCTAAAACAGTAGCCACTGGGAGCCCTGTGACAGTCACAGAAACACATTGTGACGGCCGCAAAGGCACCCAGCTGTGACGATCTCCGCGTAAGGCGCCCCCTGACGGCCGCCGCTCCCTGACCCACCATTGAGGTGCACCGTTCCGCCGGGCAGCATGCTCGGCTTGAAGAGCTCCACGTTTCCGTAGTCGTTGCGCGGCACCTTGCCGCCCTCGGCGCGCGGCGGCACGTACTCGGCCGTCTGCCAGCGGCCGAACACCTCCAGCGGCTTGTCGGTGATGGCCTTCTGCAGCACCTGAGGCCAGCGGGGACGGGAGGGTCACAGGCGGAGACACAGACAGTTACGGGCGGGCGGGCACAAGTCAGAGTCGCGGGCGAGCGGAGGCAGGGGACCTAGGGCAGGCAGGCGGGGATGAGTGGGAGAACGCAGAGTTAGCGGCGCCCGGCAAAGGGGGGATTTACATATGGGGACTGAGCAGTCACCAGCGGACAGGGACGGGACAAATTCCGAGGGGGAGGGACAGGACAGAGTCACTGAATATGGGGATGGGGCAGTCACCAGTGAGCAGAGAATGGGGAAGCCAACGGCGTGACAGGGTGGGCAGTACGGTAGGAGCCAGGAAGACATAACGGTTATGTTGGTGCGCCAAGGTGGGGGACAGGACGACACCGGACATTCACGAGCCACTGGTATTTGGTAAGGGGCAGGCCGGATGCAGTCACTGGAAAGACATTTGAGATAAGCTCGCTACCGGTAGTGAGGGGAGCTGAGGAACGGGCAAGCCGAACTGGGTGATTGGACGACCAACGGACATTCAAGTACATCACAGCGGGAAATGTCAGACGCCAGGCATCACTGGATAAGGCACCAGGTGTGAGGCAGTCACACGGTTACTATGACGGTGGTTAGAGTACAGTCACGAATATATGAGTGTATTGAATTAGGGCAAGATTAAATGCTTATGAAGCTGACAATGTTACCGACTTGCCGGATTACCAGCGAAGCAAAAAAAAAAAAAACGTTTATCACACAAAATGTCAATATGACTACCTTTTACCTAGTCACGCTAAAGAAAAGGCAGTACATTCACAAGGCAAGTTGCGAAAAAAATGAATAGTAAAACCAACTGTTCGGGTGTAACGAACCCTGTCCCACTTGGGTCTGGCCTTGACGATCTTGTAAGGTTTCTCGCCCTCTTTGACGACGCGCGCCTGTTTGATCCAGGTCTCGCGCGAGTGCAGCGTTCGCACACACTCGCGGGCGTAGACGGGCGTGCGCCGCTCGCCCTTGCCGATGTAGCCAAGGGGCACGGCTGTCGGTGGGTAGATGGCCTCAAACTTGAGCAGGTGCCGCTCCAGCGCGTACAGCGGGTGGTCCTTGAACCTAAAATGCACAGCGAGAGGGCACAGCAGTTAGCGGAAATGTGACAGACAATGTAAGTATATGGAGCGTTCGAAATCGGAAGCTCCTTGTCAAGCATGTTGAACAAAAAATTAGTCGTTTCCGCCAGAGTGTTTGTTTATATGACAGTTTGGCCCAAACACAGCGCTTGGACTTTCCACATGGTTGTCAATGAGTCAGTGAATCCTTCCGTTCAGAGCATTTCAAAACTGACGGTCGGGAGCTGCTCAAATAAACTCCCAACTTCCTGTGTAAACATGCACGAAAGTCGATAACCTCCGCTAACGCCGGCTCATGGACTAAGAGCTATACTAAGACATCGCCCCACTCCGCGGGCGCGGCTAAAGTGAACCACCTACTCTGCGATGGACTGGGGCATGGGCCGCTCCTGCAGATCTCGCATCATCTCCTCGTCCTCCTCCTTATCCCGCCGGGTGGGCGCCGCCCGCCACGCGTCGGTCGCCTCCGACCACCAGTCCGGCTCCACGCGCAGTTTGCGCGTGCTCGAGTGCCACTTGGGGTCGTAGCGCGCCGTCAGATCCTTGATGTGGCCGGCGTTGTCACAGCCGACGACGTACACCAGAGGAGCGGTGGCGCGCTTCTGCGGGTGAGACAGAATAGCAGAATGAGTAAATACTGCAACAATATGTTCATGAATGCTTTGAGACTAGTGTACTGGTAGGTAGCACATCGGGCATCGGCACTGATGCACCTAGAAAGATGTCTTATCGATGTTGACATCGTTATGAAAACAACCCGATCGTTCGACATTTTTATGGTAAGGTGACTTTAATTGTTATTGATTATTGAAAAAATGCGGAAACCATTTTCAACTAAGGCACAATAAGCCATTACATCAACTGGTCACTACGCTTCGGGCCCGGCACTGTCTTTCATACAATGTTCAGCAGACCTGTGCTCTGATTCCGGGTTACCTCCGTTTTGTCCGGCAGCCCTCGTTCCGGCAGCCCTCGTTCCGCCAGCCCTCGTTCCAAGCGCTGGCGTGTGGAGATGCTAGATTTCTAATACGGGAAACCCCCAGTCTTCCATCCCCGTCCGTCGGAAATGTCGCATCTCCAGTGACCCGACCCGACCTTGCCCTTCCTTATAAGGCACGTGGGGCTGCCCGACAAAGCGGAGTAAGGCGGAATGAGAGCACAAGACTGATGTTCAGTCTCAACATTAAGTAATTTTCTCCCAGCTCACATCCCCAGTGGAACTCACCCTGATCTGTGTGACGCAGTGGACGCCGCCGCCGACCACGTCCACACTGATCCAGCGCAGCTCCTCCTCCACATACACCTCGGCCCAGCAGTCGACCGCGCCGCGCGCCGGCCGGCCCGGCGGCCCCTCCGAGCCGCCGCTCGAGCTACTCAGCACGCGCCGGTCCGGCCGGCGCGGCTCAAACTCGTCCCCGGAGGAGTCGTCCGACGAGCCCGCCTCGGCCGCCGACGGCCCGGGACGCTGCTTGGCCTTCCTGTTGGAGCCCGTCCTGGCTGGAGGGGTGGGGGCGGAGCGCGCCTTCCCCTTCGGCGTCTCAGAGGTCTTACGGGCAGAGTTAGACGAGCTAGTCTCCTTCTTCTTAGACTGCTGTTTGGCCTTTGCGGCAGATTTGTCGGATTTCGCGGCGGCCGTTTTTCCCGCGGCAGCGCTGGTCGGCGGACTCGGTTTCAGCGGGACCGGCTGCAGCGACATCACCAGACGGCAGTCGACGCCGATGGCGCGCAGGATCAGCACGAACAGGCAGACCAGCTCGAGCGGCGTGTGCGCCTTCTTGGTGCGCAGCCGGACCTCCAGCGTGGCGAACACGTCCTCACTGCACCTGCCGCCCTCGGCCGGCGCCTCCAGCGGCACCTTCTCACGGAACCACTTGAGAAACTTCTCCACATACGAGATGGACACCCGTTTAGGCGGGTACGCGTACTTGGAGGGCAGCATGGACATGGCGCAGGCGAGCTGCGTCTCCGAGTTGAGCAGCGCGTTCACCTGCAGCGCGCGCGACAGCAGGCAGAGCAGGTGTGCCCTGTGCACGAGCTGCTGCAGCTCACGACGAGCGCGACTCAGCTGGCGCTTCATGTAGGCCTCCACGTCGAACCCCTTCTTCTTGCGCTTCTGCACGGCCACATCCGAGGGCAGTGTGACCTCGACGAATCCCTTGGTGACGAGGTCGGAGGCGCGCGTGTCGACCGCCTCCCAGTCGGAGTCGTCCGACATGGGCGCGTCGCCGTCGGCGCCCTCGCCGAGCCGCAGCAGGGCCGCGATGTCGCCCGCCGCCGCCGCGTGCTCCGCGGTCGGCCGCTCCGCCTTCGGCCGCTGCTTCTTCGCGTGGTGTTTCTTGGTCGGACTCGACGTGGAAGCCTCGTGCGCGTTCTGATGAGACTCCTTGTCAGCAAGACGGTTCTTGTGTGTCGGCTTGTCCTTTTTCGGACGCTTTCCTTCAACGCCGCTTCCCTCGTGCTTGGATCGCTTCTCAGCGGAACCGTTAACCGACTGAGAATGATTTCTGGACTTTGTTTTTGCGTCATTTTCCTTCGTTGGTAACTTTTTGTTGCTAGCAGTACCATTATTAGAGGTACCTTTGGTAGAGACATTCTTTGCTTTATCCCTGATCGGGTTTTTACCTTGTTTTATTTTGGTGAACTGATCTGACTTCTCCGTGCTCGTTGGGTCGCGTGACTTTGCCAATTTGCTCTTCCCTTCTAGCTGGTGAGTAGGTTTACCATCCTTCCTGCCCACAGAGCCTCCTTTGCGCTTTCCCTGAGCTGGGCTCTGGCTAGCTGACTCTGAATCCTTCAGTGCTCCTGAGCGACCTTCTCTCAGCATCTTGGCCAGTTTCTTGGCCGGACTTAGCGACGGGTCGGCCATGACCGCCGACGGCGCGCCGGGAGGCCCTGGGGACGGAGCCGCATTACGGACCGATCTCCGCGGCTGTCCACTGCGTGACGTCACCTCTGCTCGCATGGTGAGTCCTAGAGCATTCCCAAACTATGCAGCTATTTGGCAGCACACTGCACACATGCAAAAACAGAAAAGAGGTATTCTGAAAATGATAGAACATGGTCAGACAAAGCAAGGCAAAAAAAAAAACAAGCAAGCAAGCAAGCAAACAAACAAACAAACAAACAAACAAGCAATAAAAAAAATAACAAACAAATGAACAAGGAGACAAACCACACCAAAAGGCTTCACATGGTTGACAGAAGGTTGCTTCTTGCAAGAAGCCAACATCAGCTAAGCATTTAGCATAGGTAGTCATCTTGAAATAGTTGCACAAATAAGTCTAATATTAGGTTTATAGTCACATTGGATATATACATTTGTCAGATACATTGATGTCAGTTTGCAGGCTCTGGACAGCAACAAAATGAGTAATGATTGGCATAATCACTGAACAATTTATGATGAGGGAGCGATAATACAGGTCACTCCACAAATTTTAAATGCAGAAGTTTCACACAACTTAGGTTTCTAGTTATTAATGAAGCAATTCACATCCATATGTGAAATATGGCTAAAAATTGATAAGATTTTATGTAATAAGCCAAAGAATTGTCTGGAAAATGACATACCTATATATTTAACCAATGTAACTATGAGAGTGGTAAGTACAACTGATGTTTCTGTATTTTTACCACAGAAACAGAGCTGGCTGTGCCTCAGTCCTTTATCTCTACAATGCCAAGGAGACAAAGAATATGAAGAATTATTTTTTTTATACAAATGTGAATATGTGGAAAGCATTAGATATCAGCACATCCATACAAAGTGGCATGCATAATCTAGTTGTTGAGTGATTTGTGCAATCTTCAACTGTCTTGATGGAAGTTGCACCATTCTAACTATTCATGAAAATGCATAGGTATAGTAAATGTTTAGTTTACACCCACCAAACTAATAATCTCATTGCAATTGTGCATTACCTAATTCAGCTTGAGATTTGACACACTACCTATTCATAATTATTCAACCCTGTTTGTCAGGCAGGCATACATATGATATGCAGTATGCCATTGACTTAGCTTGATAAAAGGAAACTTGAACTTGTTTCTAGTGTAACCTGAGAGCTTTCCCAAAACTTTTTGATCTTTTCATCCCTTTAAAGCAATCCTATATGATGGCAACAAGTATATGAATAACTTGATGGATTATTTATAAAAGAATGCGCCTTGATACAGTTCCATTTAACGAGATCCAATCCAAGTAATAGTATAATGAGATCCAAGTATTATGATGCTCAATTGATTTGAATTATTTTGAACCTGCCACTCCAGATTTAACATTGCATTGATACACAAAAATAAGTGCAATGACCTACCTATCTAGCTACATTAATATGAAACGGAAATAAGTAACTTTGTTGACATAACTCAAACTACCAATGGATGACCAGGGCCCCATATCATTATCAATATGACCTGGTGGACAACTGCAACAGCATCTTGCTTTTATCCCTTTAACCTGCCACCACATTAAAATCTCTTCCCATATATTCTACACAATTTTCCTTACCACCCACCACGACCACACCTTTGCAAGGCCCTATATACCTATTTTAAATGCGACATTTTTTTTATTTTAAATGCGACACATTTTGCACCTTTGGCAAAATGTGTCGCAATCGCCCGCCAAACCCCAGTCCATGCCCCACGTGCCCTAAGCATTACATAACAAAAGGACACCGATGCTATAAGGGCGTTTTTACTTTACCTTACAACGGCAAAAGAGTCTTGATGGCATCATTCCAGCAAAGGGAATATAAGGCCAATAACTGTCATAGAAACAATCCAAAGAAAATGGTCCATGAATTGTTTCATGAAAACGAAGTTAATTCAAAGTAAATTGATCAAAATACAAATTCTTCTCAAACACGTCCTTGCTTCACGAAAACTTTTGGTATTGATACACCGTGAAGCTGAAAAATTGAATTTAGTAGCCGCTTCCTGCATCGCATTATGTCCCTGCTGCGTCATTTGCTCATTCATTTTTCACCTTTGTTTACCCTATTTATTATTGCGCTTATAAATAAATTAGGATATATAGTCGTATAAAATGCAATAAAATGAGCTAAATATTGAAATTGACAATTTTTATTCTAATGTCAAGAAGTAAAATGCATATATGAAGGATTTTGAAAGCTAAATTTGTAATATACGTCATTCACATGAGATATCGGAAAGAGCTTTGTCGATCAGCTGTTCCTACGTCGTAAACAAACGAAACGCTGCCCAGCAGCAAATCTCAACTGAAGCATTCTGCTGCTGGGCATTTTAGTGGTCGGGTTGAGGGGAATACGGTGTCGGATTACGGCTTATCGGCTTGGGCATCGTACTAGATACGGTGAATTTACCCTTGATAGGTAATTGTTAATCCATGAAAAGTGATATTAGTTTGAATTTTATGTGTTCTGTGTGAGTGTGGCCCTTCGCAAATTGAAATGATGAAGGATGCAGTCCAAGTTGAAGTCAACGGTTTTATTACGGATCACCTTTCACCCTAATTTAGCTTAGTGCTCTGACGAAACACTAACCATAGTCAATTTTAGAGTCTCCTGTAATTGGCTGTAACTCAAGTTCATTATAATTACTGCTATAGCACAATAACATTTTGCAGAGTTCGCTTCCATCTCAAACTCATTGCAGTTCAAGTTGTGCCAGTACCTTTTGTTTGCTTGTGAGCTCTTGTCTCTTTGTTTTCTGAGGATGGTGTATTAGATGTCTGCAAAAATATCCTTATGTATTGCTTACCCCACACCTGTTCTTATTACCCTCAGTGTGACTTGTATCTGTTACCCATAAATGGTTATGATTTGGTTTATATTTTGCTGTTTAAAGTTAACTTATAAGTATGCAATTATGGAAACATAGGCATATATTGGCATATTTGCCCAAATTGTTAGGTATGGTATCTAACTCTGCAATGAGATTATGCTTATCTTAATGCTGTTTTATCTTTTTTATATTTGCATCAGTTTGCAAATTTTAAGCAATGATTAAGCCCAAAATGCTTTGAAATGTAAGAAACTTGTCTTAATCGCTGTGTGTAAGTGCCTTTTAATTGGATATTTTTATCACAAACATAAAATCATTTTTATAAAACCAAACAAAAGAGACAAAATGCATTGAAATAAGAATCCCTTGCATGTGCCCAATAATGAATGTAGCCATAAGTTGTACTTTGTAGCTTAAATCCAATGGGACCTTGGATTTTTATCCTAGAAACCTGCTTGATCATCTTAAAGAGCAATTTGCTATCATTGAACTTTGAAGATGGTGACATGTAATGAAGGTTGATTGAATGATAGCTGTGAAGAATATGTCAGACATATTGAGTATATACCCTACAGTCACCTTAAAATTCATTGTTAGATGGTACTCTAACTGTTATGATTTTCAGGCTGTCAGCTGTGCTTAAAGGATTAATCATGGTTTCACCAACAACTGTGGTAAGTCTTCCCTCTTATTTCAACTACCAACATGCACAGACTCAGCAATGAGCATGACAAAACAAGTACAATGTACATGCTTACATATTGTCATTGGGGAACATTGTTTATGGCATGCTGTAGAGTTGTTTCCCATTTACTTAAAGGGACCCTCCCACCTTAACATTAGATTTGAGTTGAGATAGCCAAAATGGGGTCCCTGGCTCACAATTACCGGTTTCGGCACTCACAACATCGAGAAATGCCTTAAATTGGAAATATTGAATTTCAAAATTGCAGCATTTTGATTCAGAGGGGCTAATGCATAGGAATACCCCTCTGAATGTGTGACGTCAGCGCAGATATCTAACGATTTTTAAATGTTTGACTAAAACGTTTTGTAGCACGCGGTGGTATATGCTGCTTTGCGCGCAACAAGTGCCGCACTTTCAGCTGCCAAACTATTGCTTCCAAATAAAGTCGCTAGGAACAGCGGAGATCCCAAAAAGTAAACAAAAGTAAAAGTCTATTATCTTGAAAACCGGTGAATATTTTTCGGTGAAATTTGGTAGATATTCGTTTTCGATCTTTCTGAACCGAGCGACATCACTTTCATGCCAATTCATAAACTTTTTTGAAGGTGGGAGGGTCCCTTTAATGCGCTGTTGGGTGTGGTTAATGTATCAATACAACACAATGTTCATTTCAGATAAAGAGCGTGGGTCCGAAGCTGGTGCCGTTCTTCAAGACTGCGGCGGTGTACTTTGTGCTGTTTATCCCGGAGGACCGGCCCTCCTGGCTGGCGCTGGTCATCAAGTGCCTGCCGGTCCTCTCGCTGCTCATCTTCGTGTTACTGCACGGCATGAGCCTCGGCGACGAGTGAGTACCTTGCTGGGGACTAGTGAGCAGACCGGGAGCGAGTCAGTACACGGGGACGAGTGAGCAGACCGAGAGCGAGTCAGTACACGGGGACGAGTGAGCAGACCGGGAGCGAGTCAGTACACGGGGACGAGGGAGTACCTAGCTGGGGACGAGTGAGCACACTGGGATTGAGACAGTACACGGGGACGAGTGAGTACACCGGGACGAGCGAGTACATGGGGACGAGGGAGCGAACCGGGAGCGAGTCAGTACACAGAACGAGTGATTACACCGGGACGAGCGAGTACTTGGGGGCGACTGAGTACACGGGGATAAACAAGTACGCGGGGACGGTCAGAATCGAGTCAGTACACGGAGACGAACGAGCACACGGGTACAGGTCAAGGTGAGTGGCGATTGTACCTTTACTGTAACTGATCATGCATATATGTATTGCAGATCCGTGTGCTTGTTCGCACCTGTAGCCCAGGGGTAGACTCGGGTGGGGAATGCATTTTCGATTTTGACGTCAAAATTACAGCCCGAAAAAAACATTTGGATATAGGTAGTTAAATTTGAAATTGCAAATTATACAAGAATGAACTTCGAATTTAAAGCGCTGAATTGTTGTCATCGCTAACCCGTGGTACACATCAGTACGACCCCTTTCTTTCATTGTTTTGTGTGATGAAGATGCGATGAAACCGCGACGCCGTTGAAGTTCCACGGTCTCTCGAGTTTTGATCCGCCAATTGCGCCAGCCCTCACGGCCCAAACATTTGTGTTGGTTTGTTTTCCGTCGTTGACTCGGATGAATCGCCGTCTATTCTGTTAGCTGGAAATGTCCATTCTGTTGATTTCTTGGATTCCAGTACCTGGTCGTTCAGAAACGGGTTCGCGGAGTGTACAAATCATTCGAATCAGGTTGGGCGAGCAGCTTACGAAACTTTCAACTCTGGTTGGTTGTGTGCGGTGACAGAGCTATGAAAACTGAGCTTTTGGCTGCTCGGTTTGGTTTTTTAGTCCGGTACCATTTTCGGTCTTGTAATCTATATAGCTTTTACTGAACTTTTACTGCGGCATTCCTGCATGCTATGGTCAGCTTTATTCATTTAATTATTAGCCATCGCAATCGTGACGTAGTGACTACAGGCTTGGGCTATGGTTCAACTATTATTGTGCACCCGCTTTTATGCATAGGCATTCGGCCTATGCATAAAAGGAGCATACTTGAGACCGATAAATATGAACCACGCTGTTTACACACGATTTGCATATGCCAAGAGATTATTCAGTTATGCTCGATATCCGATGACCTTAAGCATGGATTCTCAGAAAAACACAAAAATAAACCACTACAAATGCCAGTATTTGGCTATTATTGTGATCGGTATTGTCAGCGATCTCTCAGTCGCAGTCGTGAGTTCCCTGCCACTGACCCTGTATCATTATATGACGCCGCTGGCAGCCGGGACCGGCGTCTCCCTTCTCTGTTGATTTTACCAGGTCACCGAAGGTTTGGACTCGGAGGCCGGATGCCGCCCCGTCATACGGCAGTCGTTGCTAATGCCGTGTTTTGGCTCGTGGACCGGCCGAACCAGGAATAACCAGGCCGCCCGGCGGCCCGCCGCCGGTCCCGCTGTCCGTCCTCGCCCGGCAGCAGCCAGCGCAGAGCTCGGGACAGGCAATGGACGGCCTTGGCCGGCGGAGGCCGTGCCCGACCGTCCGGAGTCAGTCTCAGTAAATAGTGGCGGGCTGTGGGGCCCCGTGCTGCTATGGGCGTCATGTTTCTCTCATACTACCGAACTGGGGCTTTAATATTGATGAAGTAGGAAGTGTGGACCTTATGGAAGCGTTTGAGGCAGCGGTGTTCTCTGATATACCCATTGTTTATTCAGTCAGATTTGTCGTGTTGTCTTGGGCTGGCTGCTTAATTTAAATGTCCTACTTATGTGCATAATGTATGCTCTACTTACCAGCCACAACTTTGGTCTTTGGTACAGTGCAAGTATGGTGTCATTCTGGTTCGACTAGGTACAGATCTATCACAGAGATGTATTCAACGGACTCATGTTTTCTCTTCGGTGGTATGCATATTTACACTGTCGAAATTGATCGTTATGTTTATTCATCTTCACAACAGACCTTGCTCTTATATAACCGTATTTGTTATTTCGATGGTTGTCTCGACCCACATACCTATAATTGACGTTCCCTCGGGAGCTGCAAGATAAAAGACCCCCAATTGGTTTTAATTCTACTAGTTTGGGCCAGGTCTGACCGGTTGCCGACGTTTCCAAATCATACCGTTTCAGGTATGAGAAAATTGTCATCACTGCCTTCGCTTGCCATCCCTTGCCATCGCTAACAGAAACTTCTCACTCGTAAAGTTTGGCCATGTTTGGCCATATATTGGGCTGGTCGTTCTTGTTCAACGTTTTCGATCGTTCTCGAGTCGTAGCACATGCGGTGAAATTAATCTGAGTGCTTGCCGTACACACTGCGCAGCCATTCCTAATGCATCACTCAAGCTGCCTACCTGTATGGTATTTTGGGATTCCGATATTGGTGTTGCCATTTGTTGATGATACTGAATCAATATTGTTGAGTTTATTTACCGTGCTTGTAGGCAGGGATGCGGAGCCGGAGCCGGAGTCGGAGCCGGAGCCGCCGGAGCCGACATATTTTGCCCGGAGCCGGAGCCGGAGCCGGAGCCGTGAAACAATATAGCCCGGAGCCGGAGCCGGAGCCGGAGCCGCCAAAAAAGGGGGCGACTCCGGCTCCTTTTTATTTTTTGAAGAGGAAAAAAAATAATTGACCTAGTTCGGTTTGACAGTACAAGGCAGTAAAACATATGGTACTTTACTTACGTCATGGGCCATCAAGTGAATGAAAAAAAGCCGAATATCCCCAGTATCCCACAGTAGGTACGCAATCAACTTCTTGTCTGCTCCTCCCCCCCCCACGTCTACTGCATCCCCAGAACATGAGGACCGGTCATCAGGTGACGGCCATTGTTTTCAAGCCAGTGGCAGTGGACTGCGACTCCCAGCACCGTCTCTTCCCCTCCCCCCCCCCCACTCCCACCCCCCAATGCAGCCGAGACTGGTGTCAGCTTACGATGGTTCAGTGAACTCCAATTCGCGGCGACTGCGTTTCCAATGCCATCGCTTCCTAGTCCTTTGTTCTGCCAGTTCTCGGTTCTCTCCGAGGTGCGTTTGCGCGGGGACGCGGTGAGCCGGTCATGGCAAAGAGTAACGCGTATAACCAATCCAATTTTTCTTCCACTCGTATTTAATTGATTGCATAGGGGATGTACTGAGTCGGAGCCGGAGCCGCCGGAGCCGGAGCCGCCGGAGCCGGACCATTTTACTCGGAGCCGGAGCCGGAGCCGGAGCCACCACAACATTTCACCCGGAGCCGGAGCCGGAGCCGGAGTCGATTTTTTCCTCCGGAGCCGGAGCCGGAGCCGGAGCCGTCTGAAATTTCCACGGCTCCGCATCCCTGCTTGTAGGTATTTTGGTCGAGAGCGCCGGAGCTGTCTATTGACCTTCCATCTAATTGGTTGCGATCGATGTCGGGAGCGATCGGACGGCGGCGCTGACGGCTCTGGTCGCCTCCGGACGTGGCCCAACGTCGAGCCAATAGAACAGCCCCCGGACGGGGTTACGGTCCGTCAATCTCCGAGTTCCGTCAGGCGGCCGGCCGCCGGGACTCCACCGAAATGGGCTCTTCCGAGTCCGCCATGGAGCCGAGCCCGGTCTTCGGGGCACTGTCCCCTGGGCTCCAGTGGCCGGGACCCTGTCAGCGAAGTGACTGGTAATCACAACTCCAGCTCAGACCCGGCCGGCGACTTCGTGACTGCTGCGCGGAACTGGTCCCAAACCGCGGATTGTCAGACGTGCTGATATGCGCTGCATTCGAACAAAGGCGGCGGTCAGGACTGGAACCGTCCGCATCAGTCGTAATGCCAAAACTGGCCCCATCCTGTGGCCGCCAAACACTGGCATGCGAAGGTTAAATCCGAGGATTACGTGAGTAAGGAGTAACGCATATCCTGCGGGAAGTTGTCGAGCGGATTGTAGATTAGTGAATGAATACTCAGCTCTATGCCGGGGCTCTATGAAAAACAACGTCCAGGTGACTGAGGTGGTCATTCGCAGGACTAGCGCCTCTGGTGGGGTTTTCCTGACCGGTGCCCTGCGCCGCGTCTTTTCCCACCCTACAGACGCTGCTCGACCTTGACACCGGCTGTCGCGGAGGCCGCCGAACTTATCACTGTCTCCGAGAGTGCTATCAGGGCCTCCCAGTCTGTAAGTGGGGTCATCCCGAACATTCACAGCCCAGATACTTATGGTGCTATCCACTTTGTATGGTGAAATCAAACGGGAGGACTTGCGCTGAAAGTGGGCGTCAAGAGTGCGTACTCGACACTTTGACCGTAAGCTTTACCGTAGTGGTTTATTTTAAGCTGCATTGTGTCTGCTGTTGAACCGCTGCAACCTGACTCGGTCTCGGCCACCGCCTCCTGTTCTCTGATATGTCGTCATTTGTCCCTAGAATATGCTGAATACCGACCGTGTATCGTATGCGACTGCTGCTGGCCACCCGGCGCTCAGTGACCACTTAGCTCCTCCGTGTGGTACGGGGACCCGCAGTTGCTACTGTACACGAACCCCAACTCTAGCCGTCTGTCCTGTCCAGTAACAACCGATAACATTGATATCGACTGCCGGTCCCTGTACAAGAGCAGCTGAGGTTTTCTGTGCGTGCCCTCTGACAGCTTATCGTTGTTCCCTATGAGGGTGCTGAGACAATTTACTCAGGGTTGCTGTACAGTAGCAACTGCGGGTCCCCGTACGGCACTCAAATATTCGGACCGCTGTGCGCTCTGCCGCTCTCAAATTGTCTCAGTCTCACTGTGGGAAATATCGATATCAGTGGTCGAAAACAAGTACTATACCTCTCGCAGTATTTGTTTGTATGAAAAGCATTCGAACAACACATTCCTGACACCGCAACTACCGGGAAATATCGGAGCAAATATCGTTATCATGCATCTACCATGGAAGAAGTTTCAAAGGATATCAACAGGGTACCTCCCACAACTGTGGGATTTGGACCGTATGCTACCGCGCTTGCTGCGATGCCCCTGCACCGTATACGAGTACGCCCTTGGCAGCATTTTCCCGGGCCTAGCACCGCGGAAGCACAGCGACTAGGGGGGCAAAATTACCTTTCAACACAGTGGTGAATGTCGAAGCCAGTTAAAACCTGCATGATGATTGATGAATTCATATGATGAATCGGTCTTATTGGATGTTACGGGCCAGTTGATAAAGTGTACTAGCATGTTAACGCGCCAATGACTGTGTCAATTTTTTAGCATTATTTAGTTACATCAAGAAGAAAGCCATTACATTTAGCCATTACATTAGCCATTACATTCTGGTGTTACATTTTGGTGTTAGTTCAGGTAGGGAGCCACGGTCTCGCTCAGCAGTCCAAGTACCTTCATTCTCGTTATGTTCCGTGTTCACCGCACTGTGTCTGTTCTCCCCGGCAGGTACGCGTACGCGCGGCGCATCATGCTCGGCCTGAGCTGCTGCATGCTGGGTGACGCGCTGCTCGTCTTCCCTGGCTTCTTCCTGGAGGGGATGGCTGCCTTCGCCGCCGGACACCTCTTCTACATATCGGCCTTCGGCTTCAAACCCGTCAACCCGTACGCGGGCGCCGTGCTGTACTCGCTCGGAGCGGCCGGTAAGTTACCCGTGCTGTACTCGCTCGGAGCGGCCGGTAAGTTACCCGTGCTGTACTCGCTCGGAGCGGCCGGTAAGTTCTGGGTTCTCAATTTTCAGGTGACGTGTTTAAGTGCCCGCTGTCGCTCGTCACTTGGGCGCGAGTGCTCGGTGCAGTCTGGGATACACTATACACAGAAGACACCCTGAAACAACCCTACTCATTCACTCACACTCACTCACTTTATTACTCCAGCGCTCCCTTCCTCCCTTACTCACTCACTCACTCACTCACTCACTCACTCACTCACTCACTCACTCACTCACTCACTCACTCATTACTCCGTTGACGATGTGTACTTGTCTCTCATTCGTACTCTATGACCTCACAGGCCCGGCCCGTTTCACCCTCACAGGCGGCCCGTTCCGCGGTCCGGAAGCCGCCCCTAACCGGTTCGGCGCCGCGTCCGGCGTAACTAACTGACTGATGTCTTCCTGCTCTGTCGGACGCGTTGAACCGATCTGATGCCAGCTCGGGCTGGTTTGAGATCAAGATGTACCGCGTCTGATGACAGCGCGTGACTACTCGTATACCGCATTACTTGATACGATAATCTTGTTATTGGGCTACGTTTGGTAGCTGAGTCGTTTGGAACGTTTCAATCTCATATAGTCTCCTGGGTGTCTCGGAGTTTATCAGCGTTTCCCGGCTGCCCGAGACTCCTGCTCAGCACGCCCGCTGACATATGATATGCGGCTGTTGACCTAAAAACAATGAATGCGTCTCATGTGACGGCCTTAGGGCGTTTCATGTGACGGCCGAGTAGCACGTGCGTGACCGCCGATCGCTGGTTCGCTGAGCCGATGTGACCCCTGGTTTGTGAGCGTCGCTGGCCGCTGGTATGGCGGACTCCGCTGTCCGTTGGCAGCGGGCCTCGTTAGCTCAGCGGGCTCCTGGTCCAGTAAGCCCTGCTGACCGCTGCGCTAGCCCAGTGATCGCCCGTCACCGCTAGGTCAGTTAGCTCCTCTGGCTACTGGCCATTCAAGCTCCGCCGGCGGCTACTTTTCCTGAGTAAGCTCCGCCGCCGGCCGGGCCGGTTAGCGCCGCCGGCAGCCGTCGCTCGTAGCTGGTCGTTTTAACGGTGCCCGGCCGGACGGTCGACCTGACGAGCCTCCCGGAACGCCCGGACGCCCGGTGCATGTGTACTGGAGAGCGCACCGCTGGGCCGGCCCGTCCCAATGATAGCACGGCTGGCGATAGGCCGCAGACAAAGACTGAGCCGTCTCTCCAAGGATATCTGCCGAAACCGATGACAAAAACAAGAGCTTACCTGACGCTAATCGTGCCACAACAGAGCCGACCTGTGTGTCAATCAGCACGACCCGTCATCCCGCTAAATTGCCCAACGAAACAATGCACGCAACATGGGCAACTGCATTGACCGAGGGCTCGTGTTTGGGTGTCATTAGCTTGTGCAGACAGACTCCCGACCCCGTAAATGACCGAATATCGGCCGGTGCCGGCCGGCCCTTTGTGTGATTGTGAATGAAAGTGCTAGCCGCTGTCGGACCGTATCTGTGTTGGACGGAGTACTCTTCTGTGTCTTGTTGTGTCTGCGTCCATGTCTGACTGTCTGTGACTATGGTGTCTTCCAGCGCTGTACCTGGTGACGCCGGGCGAGCCGTCCTGTCTGTCCGTCTGACTGTGACTGACTGTGTCTCTGTTTGTATCTTCCAGCGCTGTACCTGCTGATGCCGGGCGCCGAGGGTGTGTTCGTCGTCTGACTGTGTCTCTGTTTGTATCTTCCAGCGCTGTACCTGCTGATGCCGGGCGCTGAGGGTGTGTTCGTCGTCTGACTGTGTCTCTGTTTGTATCTTCCAGCGCTGTACCTGCTGATGCCGGGCGCTGAGGGTGTGTTCGTCGTCGGCCTGCCCGTGTACGCCGGCGCACTCATCACCATGGTATGGCGCGCCATCGCCCGCGTCCGCCTGCTCGAGGACTTCTGGACCTGGACCAAACTGTGCTCCTGCATCGGCGGCATCTGCTTCGTCATCTCGGACACCTTCATCGGCTTCCACGTGTTCTACGGCGCCCCGTACATACAGGTGAGCGCTCCGCCCGAACCGCTGGGGACTCGCCGCTGGCCCCGTGGTGTGAAGACCGGCGCGCTGGCTCGGGTTGCGCTAACCCCGCCCGGCTGGTTGATGCATCATACGCCGAGCTATCAGACCTGCTCAGCGGACCGGCAGTGGGGATATATGAAACCTTGACCTGCACTGCAACTAGTTTGTCAAGCTGGATGGGTGTTGTGTGGGACAGGTCGGGATTTGTGAAACAAACAGATTGCGCTGATTCAACATCATGACGTTCGTCCTTCTCTCACAAAACAGGTTATGGGGCCCTGGTAAAATTGTGTTGTGAGTTAAATTGATATATAGATGTAATGTACATTGCACTTGTTTCAAAATTATTCACATTTTCAACATTGTTAATTTTAAAATGCTTATTTGTTACAGCTCTGTGTTTAGAAAGCAAGCGGCAGTGTATCCTGTGATTATTGAATATCATGATCATAGACCTCTGTACACCAAGTCTACGATGTACAGCGGTCTATGTCATACTTTTAATGTGGCACACGAAACGCGCACTGCATTTTATCGCTTACGATCATGAAACCGTCACCTGATGTAACAAATGTCACCTGTAGCTCGGTTCCCCGTACTCGCCCCTCCCCGGCTGGGTGAGCTCCGCCAACACTCCCGCCTTGGTGACAGAGTTTCTCCCACCTGCCGCCAGGCGGCGGTGATGGTGCTCTACTACGCTGGCCAGCTGGGCATCGCCCTCAGCGTGGTCGACTCCAAGGCCTCCTACCTGGACGCCAGGCGCCGCGAGAAGCAGAGACTGACCGCCGACGGCGCGACGAAGAGTGCGCTCAACGCCGCCGCCCCGTGCGCCACATTTGCCGCTGCTCCCTGCGCCACGATCGCTGCCGCTCCGTGCGCTACAATGGCCGCCGCCGCTGCCGTGGCCGCCGCTCAGTAGGTGGTGCTGCTGTCTACCCAGCAGTATCGGCTTAGTCGGCTAGGAGGTGTTCTGCTGTCTGTTCAGCAGTATCAGCTCAGTCAGCCCAGCAGCGGCCGCGTTGACTGATCAGTAGGTGTTCCGCACAGCGGCGGCTATGGGCTCACGCGGACTTTAGTTCAAACGGGCATGGGCGTTAGTTCAAACAGGGATGGGCGTTAGTTCAAACAGGCTCCCTCGCGGGTGTCGGGGCCTACTGGGAGAAATGGCACAGCTCTCAGCGCGGCGGAGCAATCGCCCGCCGGCTGCGCCGGAGCTTTTATCAGCCTTTAGTAGAGAGGGCGCCCCAGCCGGCGCGGTCCCGGTCCTAGCCCGCTCAGTAGAGCGGGTATCCGCCGCGGGACGCCCGTGCCCCACCTTCACACACCTGACCTCTGCTGGAAGACACTCGCGGAGCGGGTGTATATCGCGCTTTCATTGGTGATCGTCCGGGACGCCGATCGCGGGTTCCATAGCATCAGCTTCCGGGGCCGGTGCTGCTACACATTTCCTTTGAGGTTCAGAGCTTGCCTAGTGCCAAGGCTTCGATTTATCGGTCATCTTGACCGAATACCATTGGGAAAAGTGAGAAAGCAGGGAGCCTGGTGATGCCTCTGGGTTCCAATGTCGAGAGATCTGTAAATGCGTCGCGTGCTTTTGCCTCGAGAGAACTGCACGGGTGGCCGAGAAGCCGCTTTGGTCTAATGTAACGGGTCGACTGACACTGGTATTGATGTTACCGGCGAGCGCGTTATAAGTTCGGGATGAAGGGAGACTGCGGGACACCAGCGATATCGCCGAGGGAGCTGGGGGAGGGGAGGCATCCCCCTCCCCTGGGGGAGGGAAGGCATCATCCGGGGCTTACCAACGTTACAGAGTGCAGCCCAAAATCCTATTGCAGCTGAACTCAAAAAGTGTCCCTAATCAAAAACTAGCCTCACAAAACTAATTTAGCACGGCATTTCCCGAATTGGCACCACCGATTCTAGCTGACTATCCATCCAATGCGGGCGTGTCGGTAACTTATGCGGCTGATGATGATGATGATGATGATGATGTTCCTCCCGGCCCCAGCTATTGCCGGGGCGTAGCCGATCGGCTCTGGAATGAGCGAAAGCCGGCGGCAAAGGCCGCCACCACGTCGTCCCGTCGTAGGTCAGGTGGTCGACCGTGCATGTTTCCCAGCGCGTGGAGGCGCGTGCCGCACAGGCACGGGCAGCGAAGCAGCACGTGTCGCGGCGTATCCGCCTCCTCGCCGCACACCAGGCATCGAGCCGCTGGGCACTCGGTGTCGGCGCAGCCCTGACAGGTGTCAGTTGGGCGGCGTCCGATGCGGTGCAGGTACTGGGCCGACTGGCTCCAGTGTCCCGCCCGCAGCTGATGTGTGTCAACCGCGGCCATCCGGTTGTCACCGCTGACCGGTCCCGGTAGATGTTCTTCACCGAATATTTCCTTGTACCAGCCGTCTGGCCATGCACGTTGCCACTGGCGCCGGGCAGACCTGGCGGCGGCGCGGGTGGCGCTCCTGGTGTCAATAGGGGCATTTGACTGGTCCATGCCTGCGGCCTCCTTTGCGATTGCATCGGCGCGCTCGTTGCCGGCCAGGCCACAGTGGGCGGGCACCCACTGGAGGTGCACCGGTCGACCGCGCTCCACCAGTAGCAGCAGCTGCTGCCAGATGGTGGCTCCCAGCTGGGTAGTCTGGGCTGCGGGACCGCTCTCCAGTGTCATCAGCGCCGCACGGGAGTCTAGGCAGGCTATGATTGGGTCGTCACCGCCGGCGGGGGCGGCGTCCTCTTGCTCGATCTCCACGATCTTTGCGAGCGCGTCTCGGAGTGCAACCAGCTCCGCTCTTGTGCTCGAACAGTAGACGCCTGCTGGGGTTCTGACCTCTTCCGTGTTGCCGTTCGGGAGGGTGATGTGGGCGCCTCCTCCGCCCGATGTCACTCCTCCTGTCGCTGATCCGTCCGACCATATCCAGATCGCGCGCTCCGCCCCCGGGAGCTTCTCTAGTAGGTCCTCTGCCGCGGTTCTCCGGGACTCATCTGATCTGCCTCTTGCGCATGCGGGTCCAGCGGTGGGGGCGATGGAGACTCCTTCCGTAGGAGTCCACGGAGGGAGAGTTGCCGCAAGGCTGGGCTCGACTGGAACATCCAGCGCTCCCAGGTCGCGTAGGGTGTTGCGCCCCAGCTCGCGCCAGCCGCGAACGGCGGAGAGGCGGGAGTGCTGTGTCGCGGTGGCCACGGCTCTCAGTGGGTCGTCTGGAGGCAGCGAGGCTGCTCTCATCACCATTCTCGTGGCTAGAGTGGTGCGTCGCATCTCTGCCGTGGCCATGCCGGCCTCCGCCATCAGGCCGTGCGTCGGCGTCGACATGGGACAGCCGGTGACTGCCCTGGCCGCCGCGCGCAGTTCCCGATCGACCAGCTCCACGTGGGACGGGGAGGCCGCCGGCAGCCAGGCTGCTGCAGCGTACTCTAACGCGCCGCGAACATAGCCGTTGGCTACTGTGCGCAGGTGATGCTCTCGTAGTCCCCATGAGTGGCCGGTGAGCTTCCTCAACTGTGCTGTGCGTGGGCGGACCTTGCGGCGCAGGCTGGCGCAGTGCTCGCCGAAGTGGAGGAGGCGGTCTAGCGTCACTCCCAGCAGCTTGACATGAGATGTTGCGGTGACGTCCGATCCTGCGACCTTGAGCGTGACATTCTTGGCGTCAGGGGCCCACTGAGACAGAACCAGGATTTGGGTTTTGTGGCCGGCGATGTTCATCTTGTTCTTGGTCGCCCATCTCGCCATCATGTCTGCCGATTGCTGTGCTCGGGACAGAGCCATCTGGATGTTCGGGCCGGCGCTCACTGTGGCGGTGTCGTCTGCGTACATGTAGCAGTCCGTGCGGGGCACCTTGCGCAGCTCCTCGATGAGGTCGGCGGCCCAGAGCGTGTATAGGGTCGGCGCGAGCACGGATCCCTGCGGCAGGCCGGCTCTGAAGGGCCTGTCCCGGCTGCGAACGCCGTTTACCTCCACGCAGGCTCGGCGATCCCTGAGCAGCTGGAAGATCCAGGTGACGAGGCATTTAGGTAGGTGTCTCAGCAGTTTGTTCTGGAGCATCTTGTGGTCGATGGTATCATATGCTCGCGCGAAATCGTAGGCGACGAGCACAAACTTGTCTGCAGTGATGCCGTCCTTTGGGCGGCCGCGAGCCTTCGGCTTGTTCCAGCCACTTATGCGGCTCGCAGACCCAGCAAACTCCCTTTCGCGCCTAGCTGGGTAGCACCTAACGTCTCTGAGTTCAGAAGTACGGGGTCGTATGGCTCAGCTGACGCACACACTGCTGAGACCGACAGTTGAATGTCGGCATAAAACATCGTGCAATTTTGGCCATAAGTGGCGCACGCTCAGATTAAGAAAGACGTGATCCTTATACCAAATAGTTGGTAGGTTTTCATCTCTTCGATGTCGTATGTCCTGTGTAGGGTTATGTCTGCACATGTGCGCGTGCCGCGCCCCCGCCCGGTGTCGGCGCTATGTCCCTCGGGCGCTTATCGCCGCCGTTCCAGCAGTCTTCCTTTGTTGACGTTGAGTTGATGCTGCATCGCCTCGAGCGCCGCGTACTTCTTGTTCACCTGCTCTTAGAGACTGTATGAGCCACTGTGTGAGAGAGATCAGTGTCCCTGGCTTTCCTCTCGGTACCTTTGTGGTTAGTTTTAAGTCAGATCGTTGTTGTGACTGCTACCACGGGAGCCCTCAAATGGTCTAAGTAGTTTCTGTAAGTACGGTCGAAGTATAAGCTAGTTTCTATATAGTTATAGCTGTATTTTATGGTGACTGATACCGGGACGCGCGTTTGGCGAACGGCCGAGACCGAGCGTGCGCTTGGCCCCGGTAATTTGCAATACCAGGCTTGCCACAAAAGTTCATTTCGTCACGTGTGAGGGGTCTCGGTGTAGTGACTGTAGTGCTGGCGGTCTGCTCGGGCCGTGGCCCCTCCCTATCCTCTGTAGTGATTAGTATAGTGTGCTGCAGGCGGTGCCGAGAAGACGACGAAGGTCTGAGGAACGGTCACTGGAGCGGGGCTCAGAGTGCGAGTGGCCGCGGCTGGTGTCGGAGGCGGGCCGGGAGAGGGCGCCCAAGAACTGGCCGGGAGGCGGCGCCCTCGAACTGGCCGGGAGGGTGCACCCTTGAAATGGCTGGGAGAGGGCGGCCAGGGGCTGGCCGGGAGAGGGCGCCGGCGTTAGACTCAGGAAGCGGGACAGGGCACCGCAGTGAATGGACCGTCTTTTCGTGGTCGTATGTCAAACCATACCGTATTGTGTCGATGTTTGCGGGCTGCCCCGCACCTGGCTCCTGCCAAATATACATACATATTCACCTCGGCTCGTGCTCGATGGACTGTGAGGCTACAGACGGCGCGCGGCACTCGAACACATGTATTTGCGATGTCATTCACACGTTGATAATTTGTTACGCAGTTACTATGATGTGTTTATACGCACACTGACTGAACACGATGGAGCTGCTCTCAGGTACGGCTTGGAGCACCGACAGGTCACCGCGCGTCCGCCGCACCCCTTGCAGGCCGTCCGAGCACACACGACGCAACGCCGACACCGACTGACTACTGTGACTGTGCTGTCGCCTGGCCACTACTATGCAGGACATCACCCGAGTTACCAGCTCAGAAAGCAGACTGTCTACCCCCAAAGTCACAAACCACGCGCGATTAGATCACTCCGCATCACAAGCCGTTTTCACTATAGCATTCGCGGCCATCTGACTCGTTCCAGACCAATAAACCCCGCGTCACGACTGTCGCCTCTGCGTCACGGAGCCCGCGGCGGCTCCGTGACGCTCCGGTCCATGTCACAGTGCGCCGTGAACACCTCCCGCCGGAGGGGAGAGGAGGACCGGTGCGATCCGCCCTCCAGGCACGTCCACGGCCGTCGCAGCTGCAGGCGACTGAGCCCGACTGCCGGCGGGGGTACGCCTCGACTGACGGGTGGCGCCGGCGCGGCGGGTGAGCGCGCTCCCGCCGCACATCGCGGGAATAGAGAGCCAGTACAGAGATTTCACGTTCCTAGACCTAAATCAACTGCTCCGTAATCTTTGGTAACAATATCAAATGCAGTCATAAACGTAAATGTCAACATCAAATAGTGGTGAGTAGGCAATGTTGTGAGAAACATTCAGTTAAAATATCAGAGTACGTGCTCCCGACCCCAAGTTACATAATTCATCAATTTGTCATCAATTGATTCGCTTCGCCACTATTCACAGCAGCTTGAAACCCACACATGCATATGAACACACAATGTTCAGCCCGAACTAAAATTGCAAACGATTGTTAACGTTCGGAGGTTGCCATGCATATTAGCATCGGTGAGATAGTCAAATAATGTCACTCCTTTTCGCTCGTAAAGCTACAGAGATCGGCATAAGGGCTGACCAGTAGGTATTTCGAGTCCTATCAGCCAAACCGTAAGCTCATCGCATCCGTTCGACTCGCCGTCTGTCTAAAATGTGTGAAACGGTGAACAAAAGTGATAAATAGGCCCGGCCGAATACGTGCGGGCCGGGCGGTGGTTAATTTCCAGTCGGAGTATTCCGTCACTGTGTGTGGCCCCGGTGACCGTCTGCGCTGACTGATCTGAGGAACCGTCCGTAAGGCCGAGGACGGAGGGCCGGTCTGCCGCGACAGCCCGCCAGTGAACGCGTCAGCGACCACAGCAGGGCGGCCAGTACCGGACGGCACACGGACAGTTTGAGGCTGGACGGGGCGGATGAACTCGTCACCCAGGAGGCGGTCTTTCTGACCACTCCTGACGCAGCAGCACTGTCCAGTCCACACGGGTCTGTCCAGAGGTCAGGTCATCCTCCGACCCACCGGTGTCGCTCAGTGACCTCTAGTCCACCTGCCGCCCTGCAGACAGTCAGGACACCTCGCCGGGCGCGCCGCTCGCCCCATCAGCTCCGGTCAGACCCCCGCTGAGCCCGGCCGGACCGAGACGCCCTCCAGGCCCGTGTCGGTGTCCGTGTAGGGCGGCAGGTCGCTGGCGCCGCCCGTCCGCTGGCGCACCAGCAGGCTCTCCGTCTCGTCCGACTGGAACGGTAGACAGGTAGACAGAGGTCAGCGTATCCCAGCCATCGGGACCGGGGACACAGAACACGGGGAGAACGGCAGACAGGTAGTAGACATAGATCAGCGTGTCCCAACCATCGGGACCGGGGACACAGAACACGGGGAATAAGGCAGACAGGCAGACAGAGCGGTCAGCGTATGCCAGCCATCGGGACCGGGACCACAGTACACAGAGAATACGGCAGACAGGCAGACAGCGGTCAGCGTGTCCCAGCCATCGGGACCGGGGACACAGTACGCGGGGAGAACGGCAGACAGGCAGACGCAGCGGTCAGCGTGTTCAGGCTATCGGGACCGGGACCACAGTACACATAGAATACGGCAGACAGGTAGACAGCGGTCAGCGCACCTCAGCCATCAGGAATGGGAAGAGCACACAGGAAATACGGCAGACAGAAAGCGGTCAGTGTATCCACGCCATCAGGACCGGGGAGAACACAACACTCAATACGCAGGGAATGCGGCAGACGCAGAGATGCAGCGGTCAGACCAGCAGGCCATCAGTACTGGGAACAGGAACACAGTACGCACTTTTGGAAACACGGTCAGAGAGCTTCGCAAAGGCGGCCGCTGGGTCAATGAGCCCAGCGCGACCGACAAACATGTTGACACACACTCAGCGAAGTCGAAAACAACAGAATGCTATGGCGCAGAACATATCCGACAAGCTCCACTGAACTGGAGTGCGTGATGGATAATGCTTATGCAGGGCTGCGGACTCGGAGTCGGAGTAGGAGTCTGAGTTGGTTGGAGTCGAAAGTTCTGACAGGAGTCGGAGTCGGTTTTATAAACCGGAGTCGGAGGCACCGAAAATCCATAGACTCCGCAGAACTGGCAGGGCTGCGGAGTCGGAATTGGAGTCAGTCGGAGTCAATAGTTCTGGCCGGAGTCGAAGTCGGAGTTAATTTTTGGAAGCCGGAGTCGGAGTTGGAGTCACTAAAAATCCATCAACTCCGCAGCCCAATGTCTTGGGATGATTTTCCGCTTTTTTCCCAGAGTACAACATCAGTAATACAACGATGACATTTACCGAACAACCAGGTTAAAGCGAAGCGGTGCGTCTCGAACAAGATCACTCAGTTTCCCAAGTTTTATCCAGCGCAGCAGTATTTATTTGTGAGGTCATCAAGTAAAAATTTGGAACGCGCTGAAATTACGGTCTCTGACAGCGCGTAAACTTCCCGATTGTTTCTATTGGCAGACTGTTCGATCTGCTGAGAGGTGGCGTCCACTCCGCTGAGCAGAGACGCACGCGATCACCCAGACTACACGTGACACTCAGCCTGGCGAACCCGTCCCTTCTACAAGTGGTTCCGTGACGCCTGGCCATTTCCTCGTCCGAGCCAAGGTCGCGTCAGATCCGCCCGAGCCGTCGGAGCGGGCGCGGACGCGGTCATAGCACACCACCGAGGGCGGGATACCGCGCAGGTCACCAGCTCAGCCTGAGTCACCCAGCTCGGCGGGGCAGACGTCAGCGCCGATTACAGCCGACGCGCCACTGACGCGCCACACGTGTGGTGGGCACAGATGGGCGCCGTGTTCAGTGTCTGTTCTGTGTTCCTGTGTTACGACCGAACACAGAGACCTGCCCCGGCGCTGAGCACACCTGCGGCCGCACAGCTGCTGCCCCGCCGAAAACCACCGCGGGCAGCGTGCAACAGCCGTCAGCGCACGGTCACAGACCGAATATCGATCAGCCCAGTGAACAAACAATGGCGAAACGTGACCAATAACCACATCGAGCTGGCGAAACCGCTCCGGTTATAGAGCACGGCTGAGCGGGCGAGAACAGCCGACCGCGGCGGCAGACCGACCCGGAACAGTCTCTCCCGTCCCCGGCTGGCGTGAGCCCGACTCCCGCCCCCACCGGACGAGACCCTTCACGAACCGCCGAGTCAGCGTGATCGGGGGAGAGAGGAGGAAGAGGACGTACCTTTTTGGCCGTGCAGCACTTTTGCGCCACACAGGCATCGTTGTCGGACGGCGGACAGTCCAGTATGCAAGTCTCGCTCTTGGTCGTGTGCGCCTCCTCCTCGTACTGAAAAACAAAGGGGCGATAGTTGAAAGGACAGCTGTATTGTTACCAAGCACAAAGGCGGGAATATGGTTGATATGGTTTAACGATAGATACCGACGAACACAGGGAGCAGGAGTTAAGGCTGGAACACAGCTCTCGCGCGTGCAAAATATCGCGCCTCGCTCCCCCGTTGGAAGACATTTTTTCGCTCCCAACTCTCACGGCATGAGTTGCAAGCTGACAACAAAAATACGCAAGTTTATGAGTCTTAACCAGCACAGCAGAATTCGCTGGTTGGGTCAGCAGGTAGAAGTGTGGAGCGCGCTGAAATTACTGTAACCTCATGAAATGAGCGAGACGCAGTTTGCACGCGTGGATGCTGTGTTCCAGCCTTTAGGGAGGACGGTAATACCGACAGGCACGATAATGGATGGATGGATGGATGATAATGGTTGAACGGCAGGTATTGGCAGATAACTTCCAGAATCAGCCACGATATAAAAAAAAACAATAAAAACCATGGTAGAATAAAAACAAAGGCAGGCATTCCTCCTCCTTGAACTCGACCGCTAATGAACTGGAAGACCAAGGTCACTCAGGATTCCTCCTCCTTGAACTCGACCGCTAATGAACTGGAAGACCAAGGTCACTCAGGATTCCGCAGATGACAAAGGAGTGAGGTCATTGGGAGAACAGCAGACTGACGGGCACTGACAGGCATATGGCCGAGAGCCACAGATAGGGAGGGGAGGGGGGTAGCATACCGATACAAACGGTGTGTGTGTCACTGAGAAGGAACGGCACATCCTGACAAACACTGGGTTCACAGCGGGCTCACACCAAACGATAATAAACACGGGGGGAAATTATAGCCAACACAGTGACTGTACTGGACGCACATTCACCCAAAGGTTGGCGCCCAGTAACAGGGCAGGGCATCAGTACCCCGGGTGGCAACACTACGCAGTACGCACACTGGAAGGTCATTTCGAAAGCACACACGAGAAGCCGAACATCGGCAAAGTCGATAACGCAGGAATGCTCCATTGAATATTCTTAGAAACGACACCGTGACAAGACACCACTTACATAACTAATGTGTGCGAGCGACCCCGCCCCCCGCAGCTGGCACAGTACTCACGTCGACAAACTCTGGCTGTATGGTGGTGGAGTGGATGCCCTCGTTGTGGAAGAGCTGCTTGATCTGCTCGGCGATGGTCATGTAGTCGGCCAGGTTGTGGCAGCGGATGTGCGCCGAGGCGATGATCCGGTCGCCGGCCAGCTGCCACACGTGAAACTCGTGCACGGCCAGCACGCCGTCGATCTCACGCAGGATCTTCTGTTCGATGAAGTCCACCTGGATGTGGGTGGGCACCGTCTGCAGCAGGATCATCGCGCTGTCCAGCACTGTCGGAGGAAACAGGGAGGGAATGGGCGTTAGTACACGCTGTCCAGCACTGTCGGAGGAAACAGGGAGGGAATGGGAGTTAGTAACTACACGCTGTCCCCCACTGCCGGAACAGGGAGAGAGCGGACATTAATACCCGCTGATTATCACTCCAAGAGCACGGAGGAGGGGAGGGGGGGAGGGTAGGACGCCTCGGCGACAAAGGCCATTTCGCAAAGCACGGAGGGAAGGGAACGAGTCGTCGTTAGTACAATACTCCGAATAAGTTAACATCGTAACACTTGGGCCCTGTTTCACCGGTGATAGCAGCACGCTGCTATCACACGTGTCAAATTGGGTTTCCATGGAAACATCAGCAAACCATGACGCCGTCAATCTGTGTGATGTCATCAAATATTGCTGCCAGCAGCTTCATGGCCGTGCTATCAAACAAATATTATCAAACGCATTCAACGAAACAGCAACTCTGTTCCAAACGCAGCTCACGGATTACACGAAACGTCATTAGCGTGCCCTCATCACATCACGTCAGCTCGCGCAATTTGATAGTAGCGTGCTGCTATCACCGGTGAAACAGGGCCCGGGTTGGCAACCGGCCTCGGGGATGACGTGGGTTAGTTTATATTGTGAAAACGGATGCACCCTCAATACCTTACTAGCCGGTAGTCTTCGTCAGCTACCTGCTTCGGGTAACACGCCTAGCATTTGACCGGACCGTTCATTCACGATATCATAGATATTTTTGACGCGGCTTCAATGCATGAATGCATAGCTCAGGGTTGCATTTGCATGTTAGACTCATTCTTGCAGCCAGGAATTCAATGAATACCAACGTTTGTTGACGCATCGGTCCATGAAAATCACTATGACTGAATACATGTCTGGTCTGTTTGGATCGCTGAGTGGGAGGACGATGAAGGGCGTCTAGCGTGATAGCGTTATCAATCATCCATCCCTGTGACGCCGACTGACTATCCGCCAACTACAAATTACACCCGCCACATCTGGTTACCTTGGCTCGGCGGCCTGTAACCAACCGCCGAACCCTGTCTCTGTCTGACAACCTTGAACCGAGGCTGGCTTGGCTCCGACCCGCACAGTGGCGCCCGCACAAAAAACATCGCTGGTCCCGGAGCGGGCGGCCCGTCCGCTCCATCGCACGGCGCCTACCCCCGCCTCCCACAGAGCGGGGTCTATCCGAGGGCGGGCGGTGCGCCGGCCCGCTCTATTCCATAACAGTACCATTGCAGGGTGGTCTGTTGACCCACTGACCCAGAGACGGCCGCCCCCTCCCCCTCCCTCCGTGGGGAGTTTCTCAGTGTTCCCCGAGTCACTGGGGACGGCGGGAAGAACGCCTACAGCCGCCCGCCGCCGCGGTTCGCACGACGCGGCGGAGTATCAAACGACTATCGATCACAGTGCCAAGGCCAGGCCGCCCGGCGACTGCCGCCCCCGCGGCTCGCTCAGATCTATCAGGGCGGCAGTGGCCCGGGCGAAACACCCACGCCAGACAGACAATCAGACAAGTAGACGGAAAAACAGACACAGAGAGACAAAGAGAGACACCCACGCCAAGCAGTGACAGAGGCACGGCCAGACAGCCTGCCTGCAACTCCCGCCCCCGGCTCGTTAAGATGATAATTGTGTTAGATTAAGAATCTAGCAGACAGACGCACAGCTCAGGCTGCCGGCGTGACCCCGTGCCGAGCGTCACGTCACGGGTGCGGTGCGTTGCCCTGCACGCGCTGGCAGCGAGCCGTCCAGTGCGGGTGGCCGGGTTCGCGCTGCTCTCGGCTGGCCGTGTGCCAGCCAGCGGCGCCGGCGGGGGAGGGATGCCGCACCGCTCCGCTCTGCCGCCTGGCCCGCCACGCCGGACGGACGAACGCCGGCAGTCACGAATCACGGCAATAATGGCCGGCCGCACCGCGACTCATAAATCCCAACAGCTTCCCCATGGCCGTCGAGTGGCTTACGTCCCATTAACTCGCATCAGTCGAATGGAGATGAATATCCATTAGTCCGGAACGGTTACGACCGCCATTTGGCACACAAAGAGCAACATAACGCTCTTATGCAAAGGCCAATCGCATCCAACGCCATCAGAGAAAAGTTATCAAACCGTCTAAAAGAAAGTCCCAGAGCAGCAGAGTGTAACGCCTTTCCCTTTCGCTGGCACCAGCTGATCGTAGAAAACTGCGCTGGATTCGTGACGCCAGTGAAACCCGGTCACCATGCGCTGGCCCTGCAGCACGCAGCCCCCCCCCCCCCCCCCCCCTACTGCCGGGCGGCGTGGCTGAGCTGCCCGCCAGCAGCAGCTGTCCGCCCTCTGCCGCCCCATCCCGCTGACTCAGGCCGCACACGCCACACAGCCGGCCGGGCGCAACTCCCCGTCTCCGTGCAGCCGCCTGCTCCCAGACTCGGCGGCTCAGCCCGCTCCTCCGCCGTCTCCGCTGCGCCCGGCACGCGGGAGTGGGGACGGACCGAGTAACCCGAGCGGTACCCGTGCCGGGCGCATCGGGCCGTCACCCGGCACAGACACGGACGGACTCCGCACGGTACAGAAACGGAGAGAATTCATCCGACGCAGCGGATTCCACCCGGCACAATGAACAGTAGCCCGTCACCCGGCACAACCACGGAAAGACTCCACCCAGTACAGCGGAGTTCACCAGGCTCAGGCTGACAGCGAGGCGTCACCAGACGCGGCACGCAGCAGAGCGTCATCCGGCACAACAACAGACTCCACCCGGTACACCGAACTAACACGCGTGCAGTGTGCTTCACCGGACACCGCCGGAGCGGCCGGCGACGCTGACGCCGCGGTGCAAAACAAACCCAGGTCTACCACCTCGGGCCACCGGGCGACCACACAGCGAGCCTACCGGCGCATTTGACGCCACCTGAGCTGTGCATTTGACACCGCCTGAGTGGTTCACGGGACACCACCGGAGTTCACACTTCTGTGTCTCTACCATAAATCTCGTAACGTGCTCTTCCCCGCCCACAGCAGAAGTATCCTAATCTACCGTAGTGCCCCCTCCCTTTTCCACCAGCGATACTCACACAGTGGGTAGACGCTGCGCAGAATCAGCATCACCATGATGACGCTTAGCGCCGGGTCGACGTACATCCGATACTCCCAGTCCGTCTTCCAGATCACCACCGCAGAGATGATGACGATGACGGAGCCGATGGCGTCGGCCAGCACGTGCAGGAACACGCCGCGCATGTTCATCTGCTGGGCGCCGGCGGTGCGCGGCCGGCCATCCACCAGCGCCTGACCCGTCTCCTCGGCGTCGTCATCAGCCACGAACGAGCTGAGGTGGCCGCGCGCCGTGTTGGGCAGCGGCTGCAGCTGCGGCGACGGCGTCTCGGCGGCGGCCGCCTTCTTGGAGACGCCGCCGTGCGAGTGGCCGTGACTGCCGCCACCGTGACTGTGGCCGTGACTGTGGTCTGTGGGGGGGGGGGGGGGCAGGGGTCAGCGGAGGGAGCGGGACAGAGCAGAATTACCGATACGGAAGTGTACCGATCATAAAGTAGGAGTACATAGCAGTTATCGGGAACCGCGGGCGGCACTGGTTCCCCACCTGTTTCTATTACCATTGTTCGGTTATACAGACAAACGTGAAGCAGGCGGTAGTTGAGTGGCGTTTCCGGTATCCGGAACAGGTAGCGGCGGCCGCAGCAATGGGACGCGCCCAGCGATACCTGTATCAATGGGACGCGCCCAGCGACAGCTCTATCAATGGGAAGCTGGCGGCCGGTGATGGCTCACGCTGTATCTATGGGACCCGGCCCAGCGACGGCCGCCCGGCCACGCCCGTGGCGTGATATCGATGTGCGCAGAATGTCATTAACCCAAATCGACCATGGCCATTGAGCGGCCAAATGACAGAGCGGCTAGCTATTACACCAAAGAAGCGCCCGGTCCGTGCTGTATAAATTACACTTCACCAGAGGCGGACAATATCACTCTGGCAAGTGCCATTATTGTTGATACATGAATCAACATAACTTATGCCAGTGCTGAAAAACACTCCGGCGATGGAGCGATTTTTCCCAGTGAGTGAATTGATAGTGGCACGGGCGAGGGCTGATAGCACATCTGTATGCATACAAAATTAGCACATTACCTTTATTACAACAACCAGTACAACATCGTCTACTGAAAATTGACACTGGACAGCACAAGGCTTACTCATGCTCGTTCATTTATCCTAGGTATCGTGTACCTGCCAACCCCTTCATCAACATAACCGGACGTCGATTTGCATTGTAAACACACGGGCAGTTATAGCACCCGGCACACAAATTCGTACCCTGCCGTCAAAACAAGACTCCGAAGGGTTACGGGATACGACCCAGCGACCCCGGCAGCCCAGAGGGAGAGAATGGTTCGCAAATAGACAGAGACGGACCCAGGATATGTGGTCAGCCAAGAAGAGGCCGAGAAGGGGGGGGGGGGGCAATCAGGGGCCGCTGCAGGACGAAGGCCGGAGGAAGGGCTGGTCAGGGACAGGAAGCTGACTGAAGCAGGTGAGGGCCGGAGATCTACCTAGAGCAGATCAGGGGCCTATGGAGATGGAGGGGGGGGGGGGGGGGGGCTCTAACTGAGGGTAGATCAGCGGCCGCTGCGGGGTCATATTGGCTCAGGTCACCGACTGCCGCGGACAGGTAGGTACTCACTGGCAAACAGTCCCAGAGGTACTCACTAGCAAACAGTCCCAAAGGTACTCACTAGCAAACAGTCCCAAAGGTACTCACTGGCAAACAGTCCCAGGCCGATAACGTTCACCACCAGACCCAGCACGCCCACAATCAGAATCATCTCCGGATTGGTGATGTCCTCCACCTCGTAAAACCTGAAACGACGTAAAGCACTCGGTGACGAGAGACGCCCACCGCGGGAGGAGCTGAGAGCGAGCACAGCCAACGTGGGCTGCGTGACTACTACTATTTATAGTCACCGTGACTACTACCTGTTTACAGGTTAGTAAGAAGAGATGATACAGGATAACAGTGTCTGAATTCGTCATTTAATGGAGTGTAAGCGGTTTGATAAACAAAAAGGCAAGGGGCCCGATATCAGTCAACGGTACACATACAGCGTCTTGCAGTTTAAATGTATCTTGTCAACTGATTAGACATTTCTCTGGAAATATTCATACTAAACCACACTCTTCAAAAGTATTCTTGTCATGGGACAAAGCTAATGGCCACGTGATAATGCGGTAAAACCATCGGATTCACTTTATAGCCAAGGCACCGCTTGCGAGCACTTGTATTTTGGATAGTGTAATGCCTACTAGAAATAGATTACGGAACATTGGAGCAACATGAGGCGCTCAATACTCGTTGTACAATAGACGTTGTTGAGACGCTCAATACTCAGCATTACTCAACTGCAGGTTGTTGTGCTGTAACATCCTTGCTATGAATCAGCAGGATGTTGCACACAGCACAGGAAACGAATTGCACACAACACAAAACAAACACACGGGCAAAGATCATGATCTAGTAGCGGCCAGCCAGCCGCTATCGAGTGAAGTGGTCTAAACTGCTGCAATCTGAACAACTGATTGCGTTTTCGGCGGACGGAAATAAGAATAGTAAATGGCAAATCAAAGCACTTGCGCCACCTTATTCAGGAGTCAGGTCCAACCTAAAGGACATTAATTATACTCCTGGGTACAACACAGTTTCAGAAGGTAATGAGGCAAACGATGCGCGCGAAGATAGCTCTCCACAATCATGTAAACATCGCAGCGCATCTGGCGATGATTAGGACATGATTTCTCGGAAAGCGCTGGTTTGTGACGCAGTACGACCATCGTGAACTATCTAGACGGTGAAACCAGATATCTCAGTGATGAAAGCAGCACGAGACAACCGGACTGCGCCGGTGACATCCGCGTATACCCATCACCGCACGGGGAAAGGGTGATAGCGGCCGCGGTAATATGAGACACCACGACGGTTTTTCGATCGGGTGGATACCGAATGACCGCAATTGTTACTTTATTGGGGCTATTGATGTAGTTAGTCAATAAGCACGGTCTATGCCGACCTACCTTTTCAGCGACTCGACAAAGATGGAGAAGCAGAGGGCGATGAGGAACACGGAGTTGACCAGGGCGCCGAGCACCTCCGCTCGTGCCCAGCCGAACGTGTTCTTGGACCACTTCTTTGGAGACATCTGTTGGAACAGCGGAGCAGCAATCACTACGTTTCCATAACACGTCTAAATCGATTTAGCGAAATTTCACGTGCGTTTTTCTCGGAAACTATTTATCTTATGCAAAAAATGAGCGTATATATGGTTTTAGCTAGCACCTAATCCTATATTTACATTTTTAAATTGTGCCTAAATGCTATGATGGAGCAAATCCATTTTTCAAAATCGGCTTAGCTTGTGCCATGGAAACGTAGCCAATAAGTGACACTCAAGAAGGGGCGCAATATCACAGGAACGGCAGGGTGAATCGATGTAAAATTACCGTTTTTCTGACGTTTCCAATCACTTGTCCTGTAAGTGCCCAGATAAGCGAACTTTGCTCAATGAACCCACGTGAAATAGGGCAGTAAGAACGGTATCGTCCGGAAATGGCAAAACAAACACACGCAGCACACGTGGATGGCGTGCGCGGCCACTCGAGTCGGTCGGACACTCACCCGCACTGCCAGGAAGGCCACGACCAGCGCCACCACGTCGCTGAGCATGTGGAAACTGTCGGCCACCAGCGCCATCGAGTTGGTGGCGTAGCCGACGATGATCTCCACCAGGAAGAAGGTGGTGGTCAGGCTGAACATGGTCAGCAGCCGGCATTTCTTGCCAGAGTATTTACCCATGGTCTGGCGAACAGATGGTCAGCATGGGTCAGGTCCCTATACCAGGATTAACGTAATCTGGGATCTGGCACATCGCGACACTTTGCTGCGACATACGGGAAATGGGTGAAAATGGTCACAGACGCACTTCAATGCAATCGTTTTTCAAACCTACGTCATATCAGCTGACGGTTAAAGCTATGCAATGGCGCCGCTATGCTGATGCAGCAGTTACCATTCCAGCTTCGAAAAAACGACACTGAACTAGAGCCGTCATCACAACTCGGCCAATCAAAACCTAAAAACCTACACCAATATGGCATCGTCAGCAAGTACCTTTTGTTCACTCTCAGCACTTGTTCGGTATTCAAGCTAAGGCCACCAGGCCCACTAAGGCCAACAGCAGGGTTCACTGGATACCGTGAACACGAAGTAGAGACCGCAGAGCCACTACCGGAGCTCCGTTCCGTGCGCCGGACCACAGACCAACTGGCAGACCACAGACCCAGACCAGTCAATTGTACCGATCCCGCGCAGCAGCTGACCCATCAGCGGCCTCAACAGCTGTCGGTGCCGCGCCGACCCCCCGTCAGACAAGGCCGTTTTTGTGCGCGCATAAAAAGGTGCGCGCCCGCGGCCGCGGTGAGCCCAGGGCGAGTAATGCCTACTGCGACAGACAAAAAGGTAACTGACGGCGACACTCCACCCCGACCGGAGTAGACTGGAGCGGGTTCCGTACACGACCACTGATACAAAGTCGGGAGGGTGTGTGTACTCTGTAGGTCCAAACTGCCGCAAAGCACACGTGATGCGGTCGAGGCACGTGCTCGGTACAATGGTCCCTGGGGTGGGTAAGGTAGTGGAGCCGACCGTCCGTGCCTTGTTCATGACAGCACGACACGGAGGCGACCGGCATGAGCTCCGTTCCGTCTGCGCCCGGTAACAGACATACGCTAATAATTGCGCGGGGGGAGGGGGACAGAAAACAGTTACGGCAGATCACAATAATGAGTATGTAGATCTCATAGGTGTCCACTGTCCAGTTTAGATTTATTCCTCCTATCCAGCACCTATCTGGCCATGAAAGATCACAGCAGTGTCGAGCAGCCGCGATACAGACTGAAGTAACAATGGAAAAGATGGCAAAGTACCTAATGGTGAAGCACCCAGTAAATACCTGGATGAAAAATGGTGAGACCTCTGTAACTGACAGCTGGTAGCAGCATGATACCATGGGCGTAGGAACCTCATGAAAAGTTGGGGGGGGGGGGGGGGGGGGCAGTGAAACTTCAGTGACACTTCGTGGGAGCCCCAATACCCATATGAAGAAATCATTTGCAGTTTTGTGTTCATCTCACCTTGCTGAACCATTTCCTGCTCTTTGTTTTGCATCTAAATAAAAAATAAAGATTTTACTTAAAAAATGGCTGAAAAGTGTGTGTTGGGGGGGGGGGCATGGAAACATACATGAAAACTGTGCATGAAACACTACTAAAACTATGAAATCTGCCAAACGTCAAGGCCAAAGCCAAAATAAAAAAGACCAATGAGACCAGTAGAAGACACTAACCAAAGTTACAGACAAAATAGAAAACAGAAGCATTATTCTTTCTCATTAGTTCCAATTAAAAGGAAAAAATGCACAGCAATTCTAGCCATCATGCTGAGGGACTTTTAGGCCAAAAGAAAAATACAATACCTCATTACTGGTTTTTGTCCTCCTCCCTCTAATAACTTCTTAGCTATTATTGAACTTATGACATTATATGCAGTAGAAATGGCATAGAGATTCAGATGAAATTACATAAATCTATACACCTTCTTGGATCTGGCTCACTTCCCAACACAATGCAAAACATTGAAGTTAGGGCATGTGATATATATGTCAAAAAAAAAAAACAGAATGAATGTCTTGGACTGCTTTTGATAAAGATGTGAAATCAACAATGCTGGTGTTTACCAATTTGTGCATTGATAACCAGTAATATGGGTTAGAAGCAATCACTTCAGAATACCATTATTTGTGAATAGCTTACAGTATGAAATATTAAGCCCAGGCTTGAAAAGCTATGAGGAAAAGTATGAGTCAGAATGATGACTGAGATTGATGGTTGCTAGCCCAGTGTCAGTCAAGTCTGTTTCAATCTTAAAACTTACTGATGGCACAGATATAACATAACCATGCAGCTCATAAGAGAGTCCAGTTTTCCACGTTTTGAAAAAAGAGTCCAGTTTGAGGATAAGAAGTGTTGTTTTTTAAGTAGTGAGATCCAGCCTCCTCTTCTTCTTCAGCTTCAAGCCCAGTCCCCTGGTCCTTCAGTTATCAAAAGTTGACCATCCTCTTAGGATCAATGGCAAGTTTATTAGTCAGAATCTTGTAGGTCTTTTCATAAACAGATTACCAAGACCAGCCTGACCCTCCTTGTCCTTACTCAAGCTCATATTTTGCAGTCTATCTTCTGTGCAAACAGACTGCTGGCCTTTAAGACCACTTTCCAAGTAAGTTGACAAGGTGAGACCTGATTTCTTGAATCACTTAGTTGCTCTCCTTTGATCTCCTTTCAGGTTTTGTATATCTTAAGCCATGTGAGATCTGACTACTGACAAACATCTAGTCCATACATTGTCCAGCAAGGTGGAAGGTATTAAGTAGCTATAGAAGCTAGCCTTCATGTTCTTGGTGGTAAATTTGAGATGTGAAGGCTACTGGTGGGGTCTGGACTTCATTGTCTTGATTTCAGGCTAACCAACTGCTATCTCAACCTGGCTCAGTTCAAAGCACCATGTCAGATATTGAATAGGTATGTACTCTTTTAAATCACTGAGCCTATTCACATGTGGGATTTTAATTTAGTTGAAAATCATCCACCCAGTTTGAATTGGTGCAGAATACACATTTGACATCAAGCACCCAGACCCTGTCCTATCTGATCATACGCAGCTACCCGACGCTGCCGGGTCATGAGTAAAGTATTGACCTGAAAAAGTACCTACCATTTTACCAATATGAATAGGTAGGTAGGTAGGTAGGTACCTCAACCCACCTAGCTGGAACTGGAAGGGCATTAGTAGAGCAGACATCACCTGAAGGTTTTCCAACAGAGGAGAGGCGCTGTAGATTCGTAGGTTGTAGGGTGGGTTTGTAGGTTTGTAGGTTGTAGGTTTTTAGGTTGTAGGTAGGTTTGTAGGTTGTAGGTTGTAGGTTGTAGGCTAGGTTAGGTCAGGTTAGGTTAGGTTTGTTTAGGTCTTCCTAGAAAGAAGCACGTCCGGGTATGGCGCTTCTCCTTGGTTGGAAAACCCTCATGTGACATCTGCTCTACTAATACCGCTGGAGGCTCTGCGTAGGTAAGCTGTATGCTGTGTGACAGAGCCGTCAGTCATTTGCTTTATGAAGCAGTTGTCATAGCAAATTCATACTGATTGGGTTTGTTCCCGTCGCTCCTCTAACCTCCTCCAACCTCCTCTCGTTTCAAAAAATTGTTCCCGTCGCTCCTCCAAGCTCCTCCAAGCTCATCTTGATTTCACATCTCACCACCACTATTTGCCTCCTCCCTCATCCCAAACGAAAGTTGGTTTTTTGGAGGAGGCTCTTGCGTAGACATATTTGGCGCACGTAATACAAATGTGAATTGTTTGTAAATGAGATTTGAGGGAAGTGGAAATGATTTTAGTGATTGATGACAATTGGATATCTTTAAATAGTAATGTTTGATATTAATCTAAGGTTATTTTATTAGAAAGCGATTATTATCTCTTGATTTATGTTTGCGCGCCATAAATCGCCGACCGTTACAGCCCGCAAACAGCTGATTTCCTCGCGAAAATGTTCCCGTGGCTCCTCTGAAACGGCTCTCCTCCAAGCTCATCCAAGCTCATCCGAGATTTTTTGGGAGGAGCGACGGGAACAGACCCATAGAGTCAATGCAATAAAACATATCAGTCATTAATAATAATCAAATATAACTAAGCCATCAACTTTACCTGCTATAAAAATTTAACCGCACTGGCACCGCCACCGCAACCCAAACCGCGGTCCTTGTCTATTCTTCGAGTCGAGCCTGTCGGCCTGCGCTTCACTTGTCAGTGACAACTTACAAATTAAAACCACAACATTCTTATTTCTTGAATAAGGTCAAGTAAAACTTGCCACTACCTTCTACACATCCGCCCTCCCCCGACCGCGTCACTTCTCTGCCGCCCAAGGCCCTCTAACCTGCCGCCGCCGCTGCCGCCGTTCTCACAAATCGCTGCTTTGGAAAGTAAACAAAGCACATGTTGGATAGAGATGACAAAAGTACAAAACTCACAACTGCCCTTTGCTTGGCAAAATTTTATTCTTATTGATGATAATTTCATAACTAAATTGATAACAGTTGTCTCGAAAATAATTATGACATATCAATTTATCGCAATTTTGGGGAAATTTTAGTTACACTAAAATATAAGTTAACAAAACAAGTGTACATATAAAACGTAGAAATTGTAAGAGATAAATTTAAATTGTTTTCTTTGCTTACAAAATTGATTTAAGCTGAAAAAGCCAGTTTTAAATGAAAGAAAAGTACAACCGCAATTTTGTAGAGTTCTTGGAATACGGAAAGAAGCGAGGCCGTGTGCGCAGGGTTATTTGTGGTGTGCAATTTAGGCATTATAGTTACTTATATTTTATTTCTTTCGCTTTATTTTGGCGAATAAATCAAACAAGGTGCGTATTTGCGCGTTTGGTCATTATTTCGTTCCCGTTTTATTGAAGATGTTTGCCGAATTGGTGGCATCAGTATGGGACATGTGTTGGGTTCTGCGCCATATTTGGCTCACGTCTGTTCAGCACGTGTGCGAATCGAGGTCTACTACGTAATTCTGTGTCTTTTAGGTCATCTTTTCTTGCCAGATCTGACAAAAATATATTTTTGCGATAACAAGACTCATGATTTAATATTAACTATTTGTTATGATTATTTCTTGCTTGCTCATCTTACCAGCTGTAGACTGAGATGTTCCACATTTGGCTGGGTTGATGTGATTTAAGGAAAACTAGTAATATGATCCCTTTTGTACAGTTTTTCTTCAATTTGGACGCCGGTGAAAACAGGGCGCCGGAGGGCATATTAGTCACGTGACATTTGGAGCTTCTCCCCCGTTGTGGGCCTTCTATATGCTTAACGTCACGTGTGAATTTCACGAACCTTGATCAAATCGCCCCAGGCGCCCTGTTTTCACCGTTGTCCTTCAATTTGACATGCTGAGTTTTAAGGAGTCTGACCACATTGTGAATCAAATGAGGAATAAACTCTGTCACCTTTTGCTTTTGGACATTTTGAGTGATAAGCCAGTATCATATGTGATATGAATTATGATTGTCACCTTGTCATACTCAAATGATTAGTAGACTCTTATAGCTTGAGCACTTACATTACTCCTTGTGCCCCTTACTAAGGTTATTTGCAAAACTAGATGTAAAGGATAACTTAACACATGTTAAATGTCATATACTAAATTTCTGCTTCATACATTTACCGTGCTCTTCTCCTGGGATTGAAAGAGCAAGTGATCCTTTAATGCTGTTAAGCAGGATACCTTATCTTATATGTTCTATTAGAATTTGTGGAGCTGCCTGATTGATGAATAAAAATTGTCCCCTTTTTATGATTATTTTATCGTCAGCTGATATCAAATAGCATGGACAAAAACAAATGACATTTAAAACATATAAACAAACATATACAGCATTTATTGATTGGTTGTTGTGAAGACATTACTGTTTTGTTAACAAGAATAGAGACCAATTGACAATTTTAGCTATCTCATTTTTTTACTCATGTGATGCACTGGCAAATGAAATGCTATGACTTGAATTCAGTGCTCAAAGGCAGATAGATGCCTTTACTTAGTCTGATGTGACAAATATTTCAGGTGCTGAAGATTCTATGTAAATTCCATGTTTTTTTTACAGTTTGAGCTTTTTTTTGGGGGGGGGAGGGGCTCTTCAATATTGAATGAATACTTGCTTAGGCAGAAGGGACTAAAGCACAAATATTTTAGCTGTCAAGTCAGAGGAGCTTATTGAAGAACATGGTCATATTTGGGTTCTTCTGTTTGCGAAAACCTCTGGAATGCTTAGCCCACTGCCTTTTGTCAGTTTCTCCACCGATGGAACAATCAAACTAACAGATTATAACTCAAAATCAAGGCTTTTCACCACTGTGTGCTGGTTATGCTTCATGACCCAGTTACATTTTATTTATTTCATAGATATGCAGATTGTGTGTGATGTCCTGGGGCCGATTCGAGATGGCGCACTAGGAAGCTAGTAAGACTAGGCGGCCAAGTGACACTTTAATGTAGTGACACTAAGCGGTATTTTACACCAATCGGCTAGTGGCTCAGCGCGAACCGAAATTGCATAGTGACGCTTGAAATCAAGTGTCACTAGGGCCTTAGTGCGCCAACGCGAATCGGTCCCTGGTTGTGACCTTGCCCTTTGTGTGCTGGCCCAGGTATCTGCATCACGGCTGCGCCACTGCAGTAGAGGCGCGCGCCGGCCATGTCCGAGCCGGCGCTGGACGAGCGCGCCGGCGACGCCGACGCGGCCGGCTCCTCGTACGCGCAGGCGCTGCGCGGCCGCTCGCTGGCCGACGGCGGCGACGCTGCGGAGGAGTTCCCCGAGCTGGGCGCGCCGGCCGACAGCGCCGAACACGACGAGTCCGGAGAGTGGAAACAGTCCAAGAACCGGCGCGCCGACAAGCGGCAGCAGGCCCGCGAGCGTCGTGACCAGCGCGTGCGCCGGGAGCGCCGCGAGCGTCCGCACCGCGGCCCGCCGCCCTCAGCGGCCGCGCAGCCGGAGGAGGGCGACCGCGCCGCCACCGGTGAGCAGACGGCGCCGGCCGCGCAGCCGGCTGCCGGCGACGCGGCCGTCTCGGGCGAGGAGGCCGGCGCGCCGGCCGCCGACGAGACCAAGTTCGTGGACGCGCCGCCGCCGAAGGAGAACGCCTGGAGTAAGAAGCAGGCCGGTGCTGCGCAGCCGGCGGCCCCCGCGGCGGCGGCGGCGGCGCCGGCCGAGCCCGCTCAGAAGCCGGAGCCGCCGCCGGCTGCGGCGGCTCGGCCTGCTGCGACGGCGGCCGTCCCCAAACCGGCCAGCACAGGTGAGTCGCGCGGCGACACGGAGCTAATTGTGGCCGAGCCGCACACCATCGGCCCGTTCGCGGAACCCGCCGGCGCGATAACAATGCAACAGTTAACTGTGGACGTTGTATGCTTGTGTTAACTTATGTTGTGTGTTGCATTTTATGATAAAATTTTACTAATAGAAGGTCAAATGCTAGTTGCTACTGAAAGCTCTGATATATTTAATATTTGTGTTACCAAACTTACAATACTAGAATAGGCATCTGGGGCCGTATTCACGTCGACTTCGTAAGTTGATTTTCTTTCCTAAGTATAATATGGTATTCACGTCGACACTTCTTAAGTTTTTATCGACGGAGTTCACGTGATTAAAACAATTTGCTTAAAGGGACCCTCCCACCTTCAAAAAAGTTAATGAATTGGCATGAAAGTGATGTCGCTCGGTTCAGAAAGAGCAAAAACGAATATCTACCAAATTTCATCGAAAAATATTCACCGGTTTTCAAGATATTAGACTTTTACTTTTGTTTACTTTTTGGGATCTCCGCTGTTCCTAGCGACTTTATTTCAAAGTGTGGCATTTGTTGCGCGCAAAGCAGCATGTACCACCGCGTGCTACAAAACGTTTTAGTCAAACATTTAACGGACGTTCGAAAGCCTGATGACGTCATCAGACTCCCGTAATGGTTAAAGGGACCCTCCCACCTTAACATTAGTTTTGAGTTGAGATAGCCAAGTTTGCGGCCAGGCTCAGAAACCACCATTTATCCTGGTCGCAACCCCCGCAGCTTCATGGTGTTCAAGAAATTTCTTCCCTTTACTTGCAGGGTGGGACCAGCGTGGTCCCTATCTCTTAACCATTACGGGAATCTGATGACGTCATCAGGCTTTCGAACGTCCGTTAAATGTTTGACTAAAACGTTTTATAGCACGCGGTGGTATATGCTGCTTTGCGCGCAACAAATGCCGCACTTTCAAATAAAGTCGCTAGGAACAGCGGAGATCCCAAAAAGTAAACAAAAGTAAAAGTCTAATATCTTGAAAACCGGTGAATATTTTTCGATGAAATTTGGTAGATATTCGTTTTTGCTCTTTCTGAACCGAGCGACATCACTTTCATGCCAATTCATTAACTTTTTTGAAGGTGGGAGGGTCCCTTTAAGAGATAGGGACCACGCTGGTCCCACCCTGCAAGTAAAGGGAAGAAATTTCTTGATCACCATAAAGCTGCGGGGGTTGCGACCAGGATAAATGGTGGTTTCTGAGCCTGGCCGCGCAAACTTGGCTATCTCAACTCAAAACTAATGTTAAGGTGGGAGGGTCCCTTTAAGAAGTAGGTCATTCGTAAAGAAATTCTCACGAAAATAATCGACGTGAATACGGCCCCAGATCTGCTGTAGTGGGCAAATATTATTAACAGAAATTCCCAAAGCTGATCTGTGCCATCAATGGTCCTTCAAATTTCTGCTGTAGTCAGTTCACATAATGCAGCATTTGCTTGCAATGAAATAACCATTATCCTGCCCTGTCATGAAATGTAGACACAACAATCACAATGGCTAGGTAAAGGTCATTGACCTCACGGCCATTGACCTTGGCCGTCTCTTGTCGCGATGCGTTTTTGGGAAACGTCAACTTTCAACGTAAGCTTGATATTTTTGCCGTTACAAATGATTAATGAGGACGAATAGGAGCGACATTAACAAGTGAGGACATTGCGATTTTTTCCTCGTGTACGTGCTGCGTTTCTCCTGCCGGAAGTGCCCTCTCTGGACATGAATGAAAGCAATGGGGTCAGTAGTAAAGGTCATTGACCTTGCAACTGTTTTTTTGTGTAAATGGCTGTCTTAAATCACCGATATGTGTGACTTTTTGGGAAGCGTAAAAATGGCAAGAGATATTCCGGTCCTTCCAGTTAACATAAGTTCTGAAAGTGGGATTTCTTTAGCCATAGCTTCTCCTAGTTTTCTTTACGGAAGTTGTATTTTTATCCAATTGTCCGAAAATTGTAACTGCTCCTACTCTTCTGTTAGTGCAAGGTGCCAATGAAACAGAAGCTTAGTGCTGCACGTTGTGTAGAGCCAGAGACACACATTTCTGGCAGATATCACGAGCCGAGTCGCACGCATTGCATAGGTACCTAGTCGGCCATCATGAAACATCGCGCCTGTTACATCCGTGATATTGAGAGCGCACAGTGCCTGTAATAGTCGGTAACCCACATAGTTAAATCGCACTATATCGGTAAAGTTTGCCGCTGACGGCAGCTCTGGCGGTGGCGGCGCTGTCTCTCTCTCTCAGTGGTTCCCCGTATTACTATCTCCGGGATCAGCCGTCTGGTCTGTCCCGGTCTCTGGGCTCTCTGGCACCGTGTACTGCTCGAGCCGCTGGCCGAGGCACGCCATGGCCTTTCCGCGCACCAACCTTTGTAAGCGAGCGGTGGTGTCCTATCGGCCGGCGATGGTCGCGGGAGCGTCTTCACTGGGTGGCATCCGCCCCACACGAAAACGTCTGCCTCAGAACACTCGCCGGCACAGGAAGGCGCCGATACAACCCCGTGAGTTTGTTCGGGCATATCCAGAACGTATGGGTGGATGGGGCTGAAATTTGGCTAGCGTTTCGTTCATCCTTTGAACTTATTCTCTGAAAATGTAAGGATTTTGCTAGGTCATGTCACTGAGCTCTGTCTCTGAGCTCTTCATCTGTCAGGACTCAGGTCATTCATATATGACCCGTCACTAGTCATCCCAGGTAATCCAGACACTTGCTGTCGACCTTGACCTTTTCTCACCAAAAAGTACACCATTCGACGCGTCTTAACAATACGAAACGTCTTGATGCAGTGCCGTCATTTTTACCCGACGATCGTTTTTTAGAAGTTTCCTGCTCACCAAATCAAACCCCTATTTTATTCTTTGACGTGGCCTGCGAGATCGTCGTCTTATCTGAGACCTTGAAATCCAGTACCATCGTCTTCTCTCGCAGAGAGTAACACACTAATTTTTTGTGTGAAACTTATTCAGTTAGGGGCTATATCATAAAAGGGTTGTAACAATCGGCACCTCCCTCATGTGACGTCAAATGATGCATTGCAGAAGCGAATGTCGGTGAGGTTTCATCGCGTTAATTGATTCGCGAGCGCACCCTTAAGGCTTTGTGTACATTTGTTAGTAACCTTGAAGGGTAATAGACTGCTCACTTCTCAGCGCTTAGTCATAGCTCATTAGTTTTCCAAAATTTCGAGTTGGATCGGGTCAACTCGTGACCTTAGGGGACAGTGGCTCTGATGCTGCGCAGTTGATGATCCACCAATTCGTGTAGCCTCATGGCGTGTTTTCCTGTCCTGAGGTTTCTTATGTACCTTCTTTTGCGGGAGATTTGTTTTCAAATATTCCCCAAACTAGTATATCACCTTGACTTGCTCAGGCGTTCTTAGAAACACATGTTTTTGGGGTCATCTTTAGGTCATCTCATGCTTCATGAGCTAATGAAATCCTCCGCATAAATCACACATCCCCACTCATTAATTCGATCCTTTTTAATTGAATGACTGTATTTTGTTAGGTCGCAGTTTGTGTGCTACTGGGGTTTTCCAGCCACCGCAGTAGCGATGACTCTAAAGATGCACGTGATCATCTGTTCGTATCGTGTTTCCATTGTGTGCCGATGACACGATAACCCGTTTCTAATCGTTTTTAATCGTAACCCGTTTCCCTAGTTTGACCATAGATTGACAGCTATCCTGTATCAGACCGCAATGTCACGAATTGAGACTGGAGTTTGTGGGCTGAAAGCAGGCGCGTTTCATAGGCAGTTAATTTACAAACATTTCCTTCGTAAATCTAAGCATTTGGGCTCCTTGTGGAATCAAGCGCCTGCTTGGAAGTACGGGTTTGATAAAGTCTCTGATTTGCTTTTCTGCTGTTCAACTTGTTCTCTCGATGCTCGCGCGTAGTTTGCTGTGTGAAGTGGATATGGTTGCATTCTCTTAGAGACTCACCATCTTAAAACCGATAACAGTTCCAGTAAGGTATAATATGTAACAGGAAAACAGCGTTTCATGTACTGTCCGGATCAAATCCTGGTCTCGGAACCGACACACCTGTTGTCCCAGACCTTCACCCAGCGGGTGGCACTCGTGTCTTATGGTTCACTGCGTGACACTCATATTTCGATTATTTATTCGAGTTTTCGTTGCACCAAACTTACGGTGTCGCTCGGTCTCGGGTCTACCGCCGTCCGCATTTTGAATTGTTTTATCCCTAAATGTTCACGCCCACGTTTTATTGCGTCTAAACAAGTTTCAGTCGAAATGTTGTATACATTCTGACTTAATATTTCAATGCTGGCACTGGAGATGCGTATTGTGAGTGCGGGGGTTCTTAAACGCATATGTTTCAAGAAATGTTACTATCCAGTCATATTCAGGTTTTACTGCGTGCTCCAAACCTGTCTGTCCAGATGTCTTGAAAAAATCCTTTGTTACCAGGGAATTTAGCAGTACAATGAAATGAGTGACGCATGTTGATTCTTTGTAACCTAAAGACACGATCGCTCATATTTTTTTTTTTTTTTTAGATTCAGTGGTTATTATTGCTGACATTAAAGCATTTGCGGTATCAGACCAAATAACCGCTGCGCCCCGCGTTTGGCACATGGTAGCGGGGCGCGTACTTATTTAGTAGTGTTGGCTGTCGTCTAAATCCGCGCTTCTCGGTGGCTGGGCCGTGTTTACGTTCCTGGTCGGCCAGCGTCGGTGGCGCCGTTTGGTTCGGCGGCGCCGCCCAGTTTAGCGTGCGGCCACTCGGGTGGACAAGTGCCAGCGGCCGCCGCGGCGCTACGCAGTACGGGCACGCAGCGCGGCCAGGAGGTGTCAGTCGTCGCCGGCCGCCAGCTCCAAGGTCACTGTCCGCGCCGCCCCGAGACAGGAGTGGTCCGGCAGGGCGCTTCACTATACACGCACTTAAAAACCGCACCGCCTAGTAACGTTTGGCCGAGCGCCAACTGATGAGCGGTTTCTGCCCGGCCGCCAAATCTCCGTAAATAGAATAGTAGTGGAATGTAGTGAAAAGCAGTAACGGACCTGTGTTGCCAGTTCAGCATATGGGTGGCGAGCCTGGTGTCAGTTTAATTTTGCTGTACCACAAGGTCATTTGTTTATGTATGTATAGCCCTCAGCGGTATCAGCTTTACCTATCCGGTGAAACGTTGGCGAACCGGTTTTGGTCGTGTTTCTCGAATTGCGTCACGAGCCTGCTTGGAAAACCATGGCAACTGGGGGAATGGGCGGCGGCGCGGTCCCGTCGCTGTCTGAGCGCCTGGGCAGCTGTCGGGCCGGTGCAGAGGACGGGCCGAGCGGCGAGGGTCGTCGCCGGCGGGGGAGGGTGCACCGGCGCGCGGCCCGTCCGGCCCGGGGAGGGCTGGGAGGTGGGATGCTCTCGCTCGACCCTGCCTCGGCTCGCCACTGTCCGCACTCCGCCCGGCCAGAGCTACTGGCTGCACCACTGCACCCGCCGCTTAGCGCGAACTGGAGATGTCGCGAGAATTCCCGTGCCTCGTGCGGCGGGAATCCCGACCGCGGTAGCCGCTGCCGCCTACCTGTGATTGAGGGGCCATCACGAACCCCTGCGGTACGCCGGAACGCCGCGACGCCACTGTTGATCGCCGCCGCGGCGAGTTCGCGTTCGGCCGTCTGCCAGGACAGACATGCCATGCGCCGGGGTGTTGACGCCGCTGACCTGGGCCCGCCTCTTTGTTCCAGACGGGCCGGCGCGGCCGCCCACCGTCGTACGAGCCAACTCGGGTGACAAGTCAAAAATCAATGCGAAGGTGAGTCTGGGGACGCGGGTGGTGTGCTCCCCGGGGCTGACGGGGGACGAGGGGCCGGGCCGTGGGCGGGGCCGTGTCGTCAGCTGTGGCCGGTCGGTGCGCCGCCGGCCGGCAGCTGTGGCGCCCGCAGGCGCCGGCCGACGCTCGGCCATGGCGCTGCGCTCCGCCGGAGACCGTGAGCCGCGTGTGACGGTGACGCCGCGTGCCGACCCGCAGGCGTCCGACTTCAGTGACCTGGGCGACTGGCCGAGCCTGGAGAAGACGAGCAGTGCGCCGGGCACGCCTCGGCCGGCCACCGCTCCGGCCGGCTCCGGCTCGGGCCTGACCAACGGCGGCGGCACGGCGCCCTCCTCACAGGACGACGACTCGTCCAAGGAGAACTACGACGAGAACCGGCAGAACGCCTCCGGCACCGACAGCAGCAAACGGAAACGCAGCAGTGAGTACCCGCCTGCCGGCCGTGGACGGACCGCACCGCTTGGCCGGCGGCCATTCACTGTTTGTTTAGGATCGGGGCCAGCGATTGTATTCGCTGGTCTTGATGATTTTAGGGTATACGTTCGATGGGCGGTGTGTTCATAGCGGGATTTTTCGGGAGTTTAGTGGGCCACTGTTATCTCAGTCCGGTCAGGAGCGAGGCCGATGAAAAGATCTCGTCTGTGACCTTGGTGTGCGGTGTGTCGGCGCCTCTCCGAGGACCGGGCCAGCTGCCCGGACGGCTCTCGGCTGTGGATGTGGGTCGCCACCGAGCTGTGTTACTCGCACCTAATCGGTCAGGGCTGTGACGCTGACTGGGCCTGGCGGCACTCAGCCGGCCAGAGTACGTTCGGAACGTCCAGTTTATTTAGTCTGAGATAGACGAGTGACGTCCGATCTCGCAACCGTACAGTCTCGGAGTGTCGTCATACCAACAGCGTGTCTATTTGTCGTGTGTAGTGCAGCAGAGCGCTGTGTGTGGCTGGCTGTGTTGTGTTTCGCTTGCTCCCCCGGTCCCATCTGTCTACCACCGCTCGCTAGTCAATCGGCCGGCCGGCTGGCCAGTCTCATGTTGTGCTCCCCGTGTGCTCCTGCACGCTCCTGATTCCCTTCTCCCTGCCCCCGATGGCCAGCGCTCGTCATTTGGTCCGTCTGTCTGTCCCGTGTTGTGCTCCCTGTTCTCCTGATTCCCTTCTCCCTGCCCCCGATGGCCGGCGCTCGTCAGTTGGTTCGTCTGTCGGTCGGCGGCGGCCGTTATCTGGTGCTCACATCTCGGCCGGACCGGTTCTCTGTCTGGCCGCCGCCCGCTCACACCATGGCTGCTCACGCCGCCCCCACCGCCCGCCCGTCTGTTGCAGCGCCCAAACAGAAATGGAAGCCCATGGACATCGAATTCCGCGGCCGCGGCAAGCGGGCCGATCGGTCGCCGCGCGGCGGCTTCCGCTCGCGCCTGGACCCGCGCAGAGGTGAGTGACGGCCGCGGGCAGCGCGCGCGCCGCGGCTATCTCTCCGCCGCCAGCCGCCGCCGCCGCCGGCCGGACAGGTGGGCTGTCTCCCAGCGGCCGGCGGACGGTAACACGGGCACGCAGCGGGCGCCGGACTAGTGCCGCCGGCCACCAGATAACCGCCGCCTGCACCGGCCGCGTTTAAAGGGCGCCCCGGCCGACCCGGCTATTAGCGGCCGCTGTGGCAGGTGCATGGCGGTGAGAAATTGGCTCTGTGCGTGGTGCTGCTTGTTTTCTGGGCTGAATTAGCCCCTGCTGCAGTCGGAAAGTGTTACACCGCGGCAGTTTCTTAGAGACGCAATAAACCCGATGAAGGTTCTGCGAAGTACACATACCTTAGCTGGAGGCATTTCCTAACGGAATCTTCTCTTGCTTCTTGGCGGCTGTATTTTTAGACACAAGGAAACGTCGTCTACTACGCACTTACTCCAAAACCTGCTGAGACCGTCAGTTAGCGTCATGCTGACAATCGGGAGACGTGATCAGTAGAGCCATTGCCCTCACGGTCGACAATGTCGGGACGCTGAATACTGATCGCGGCTCCGACCCCCGGCACCTGTGGCCGTCGCTCTGTTGACGCTGCCGAGTGACGCAATGCCTCCGCCCCCGCCCCCGGGCTGTGCGCCGCTGCCACACGTGGTCTGTGTGGCGGCGGTCGCCGTTCCGCGCCGCCCTCCCGGAGACGGCCGATGCGGGTTCCATGCGCCGCGCCGGGAGGCGGAGTCGGCGACCTTGGCGGCGGCGCGGCACAGTTCGGCCGGCCGCCGGCCGCCATAATCGCCGCGCCAGCTGACACGGAGCGGCGACCGGGCCACGTGGCCGGCGCCCAGTCACGTGTCGCGCGCCGTCGGCCGTCGGTCGGCCCGCCGAGTACACCCGAGCTCGGTGGTAGCGAAACAGCGCGGCACGGACATGAATGAATCATGGGTGACGTGTTTATGGTCTGCTAGTTATTCAGAAAACCCGGAACTGGGGCAGAAACATCCGTGATGTTTTGGTCTTTAAGTCGTCGATGTAATGGCGTTTTTTAGTGATTCGCGCTCATACCTGTGGCTTCCGTGTGTCATTGTGTAGAGTTGAGTATTTTTCAACAGGTGAAGCCAAGTTGTGATCTAATCTCCGGAAAATACACATGGCATCGTGTTTCGAGAAGGCTGAACAAAGTGCATGTGCAATAACTTACCTTCAATCAACTTCCAATGTAATGTTTCTATTGGAAGAGCATGATGAGCTTCGATAAACATTTCTGATCGTTCCAAGGACACGGTGGCAGTTACTGCGCAGTTGTCAGAATAATGCGTTTTAAAAGGATGGTTCTCCTTATTCGAGGTAGCGCGTGGATCGCTGCAAGCTTGCATTCAGTTAGGCTTGGGAAATACGTCCGGCTATAGTAGTTACATTCTGCTGAAACGGCAGTAAACGTTTTGCACTAGCATGCAACCGTCCCGTTCGGCAAATGCTTTCCGTCACTCGGTAAATATTGTCTCTCCGAATGCGATAGATATGTAATCTTGCAAACATTTTACGTTATTGACAGCTGAGAGGTTCGGTGTGACATTTGGTTATGCTCTTTATTGCTGCGCTCGAGTTCCTCAAAGTGTTTGTTTTGCGTCCCACCCGCTTCCTATCACACCGGCTTACGTTCCCACGGCGCCCGTCCGCTATTCACAGTCCTGTCTGGATCCCAGTACTCCGTCTTTGCCTCACACTGACTCCCTACAAGTTCCGTGCCCCCATGCTACGCCCCCTCCCAGTCATTGACGGTTGGCACAGTGTGACCCCACTTGTATCCGTGCCCCAGATCTGACCGTCCTCACGTCTCCGTCTGTGCAGGAGGCAGCTCGGAGAGCTCCAACTGGCGGGAGGACAGTCGCAGTGTGGAGCGGCGCGGCCGCGGCCGCGGGCGGGGCCGGCCGCGCGCGCGGGGTCGCGGCCGCGGCGGCTCAGCGGCCGCTGGCCTGGCCGCTGACGAGTGGTCCGGTCAGGACCCGCTGGAGGAGATGGGTGCCGACCTCGGAGCCAAGGTCAGACGGCACACGGTGACAGTCGGACTGCAGGGTCGGCTGCAGCCCCGCCGGCCGTATGGGACGCAGCCCACACAGTCACAGTGACGGGCCTAGATGGTGTATCCGAGACCCTGGATACCGCTTAATAGAAACGATTTAGCAAAGCCAGTTCCCATATTTCATAGAGTTAGCACACTAATGACGCGTTTGGATATATTGGTTAACACCTAAAGAACATATGCTGCCCTTCTTTGTCTTAACTGGGTCGGGTTTTCACGTCGGTTCTTTTCGTCTTATGCACAACTTATCGTAAATGCAAACTGAGCAGACTGCCAATCCGTAACACATGTGTTCATTGTTCAGTGAATGCGCAGAAGGTTAGACTGTCAATTCAGCATATTCGAGGGGAATCCTTTGTCGGCATCGCCCACCATTCTGTCAAGGTCTGATCGCCAGTCATCACTTTGACGTTGCAGCTAGCATATGCGATGTTAATACTGTGTATGTCAGAACTCATATGTCACTTTTGACCGAATCTGGTAGGCTTCACGTTGCGTCTGACGTCTGCCTATTTTCCGTTTGTCGGCTACCACCTGCGTGGTGTCCCGTATCGCCCATCTGACGCGCCTCACCTGTCACCTGTGTGTCGACTCTGGGTCTGACCTGCCGCCCCGTCTGTCGCCGTCTGTCGCCGCCAGGTGCCGGAGTACCTGCGCTCCGACCCGGCCTTTCTCGACATGTACCACAACTACGTGTACCCGTCTCCCTACCTGCAGCTCAGCGACGTCGCACTCAGAGAAGCCATCAAAAAACAGATGTACGTGAGAGCCGGGTGACAGCGGCAGCCGTAGGAGCGGGCCGCCAGTGAGGGGGGGGGGGGGCACTGGTGGAGGCCGGGAGGGGTGGAACGGTAATTTGCAGACTTCTGGGAAACGAACGGTTTTGTGAGCTGTGCAGCCAACGGTGGCTGGCGTGGACTGAACTATTGTTTGAGTCTCGTGGAAATCGCTAGTAAAATGTTCTCCCGCGGGGTAGCGTGGCAGTAATTCTGCTGCCTGTGGGTTGGTGGTAAATTTGGCCCTGAAAATGAGTCATGGATGTCAGTTTGCTCTCATATCTGATAGTTCATACCCTTCCCACACCCCACAGCTAGGCTTCGGGTATCTTTTCATTTTGGTTATATCCCCTTCACTTGTACTGTTTTTCAAGACGGCAAGACTAATGATGTCTTTCGCAGTTTCTATTTGGCAACACATCATTGCGTCGCACACCTTGCGTTCCTGTCGGATTGAGAGCACCCGGTTGACATTTGGTTGGTTAGCAACAACCCACCCACCCCCACCCCAGGCGCGTAACCACGAGTCTGAAGTTACTGGGGACCACATGGAGGGCCACGAATATTTTTTTCCGGATCAGCCTTCGCCCGAGTGTGTGTGTGGGGGGGGGGGGAGGGGGAGGCGTTTTTGGCCACACCTGCCAGTTATTTGTTACGCGTGTAAAGAAAACCGCGGCGCATACCACTGCGAAACTTGGTATGGCTTATGGTACCTCAATTTCGCATCGTGTTTGAAAATTTTGACCCCAAGTCACCTAAGGTCGGGTCACCAGGTCACTGGTCAGTAAAGTAACTATGCCTCTCAAAAACTTTGTGACTCTGTCATTCCTACAGTTTAAATCCCAGAAGTTTGAAACTCGAGCTTTTGCATGAGGATATCAGTATGAATAATTCGTATATCTCAAAGTTTTCACATCGGTGACCTAATGTCAGGTCAATTTTACGACCTCTCCATTATAATTCATTGGGAGAAAATTGTACTGCTCTTCTTTTGGCCGAAAACACATTCAAACACCGTGACACAGGTAAACATGACACACTGAACTGGAAAATTGCACCTGTGACCCCTCTATGCCCCTCAGCTCATCTCAGGTCATGAAACATCTCCAACAGTTTTTTTTTTGCCACAACTTTAGATAGAAACATGCTAGAGCGCTGCAAACGCCATGAACGTGTTCAGCTCAACATATACCAATCAAATGACTTGCAACATGACCTTTTCCGTGACCTGGACCAGGGGTCAAATTTTCAAGTTGACCTTTTCAGGTCAACTTATAGTTCATTCGATGCGTCTCGACGAGACAAACGCGATGCCGGTAAAATCAGCGTCATACAAGTTTGGGTTCCCAAAGTTATGATACAAAAACCTTTTCCGCAAAAACGCCAGCCTGGAAGCTAAACCGTTGACCTTAGGTCATATCTGAGAACATTACTCAGAAAGGCCTTTGAAAAAGCTATCGAAAGCGCTTTCCCGCAGCACTGCAGCTCTATTGGTTTCTGACTTATGAGCCGATTTGTGAAAAGTTGTCAAAATTGGGAACAAAAGTTCGTGAAAATTTTACATTTGGTGACCTCCAGTGACCTTAGCGATGACCTGATCAAAAATGGCATAGGTAATTCTGAAAGACACTGTAGCGAGCTATCTGTTGCACTTTACCGCGTCTTTCTAGCTTGCTTACTTTCCGAGATAATATGGTGTGGCAAAAAGGCCCCCCCCCCCCCCCACCACCACCACCACCATCACGAAGTTGGCTGAGAGGCCCACCCGCGCGCTGGCTAAACAAAACATCCATAGTTTTGTCTTCCGTTGAGTCGTTGACTACATATTACTCTTCACGTCGATTTAGAGACAATATTTCGCTATTTAAGCAAATTAAGGAAGTCGTCGGTTTTACTGGGGACGGTCCCCAGTAACCCAAAAGCTACTGGGGACCGGTCCCCAGTGTCCCCAGTGGTGGTTACGCGCCTGCCCCACCCCCGTGCGACCGTCCATCTCACACTGACCCCTGTCTCCCCGTGCAGTGAGTACTACTTCAGCGAGGAGAACCTGCAGAAGGACTTTTTCCTGCGGCGCAAGATGGACGAGGACGGCTACCTACCCGTCTCGCTGATCGCCTCGTTTCACCGCGTCGAGGCGCTCACCCGTGACATCAAGCTGGTCATCCAGGCCGTGGAAAACTCGGACGTGGTCGAAATCGCCGACGGCGTCAAGGTGCGTGCCGGCGGGGGGATGCAGGACGGGCTGATGGGGAAGGTGACATGGAGACTTGGGTCGCGATGTCCTGCCTGATAATGAAATTTTCATGGTTGCTCCGCACTCCCGCAGGGGACGCCAGGTGTCATTCGATAAGTACATTACTATGCTATTGCTGACTGAATGCCATGGTAGCTGCTACTGGTGCGTCTTGAATATTGCATTACCACTGAATAACCGCAATTGGCTGTCGTTACGAAGTCGTGCAGAAGAAAGATGTTACTGTCAGGGTGACACAAAAAAAAAACGGTCATCACCAAATTTCGAATAACTTCGGAAGTTTTATTCAGATCATCACCAAACTTCGGCCACTTAAGGTCACACCCAAGGCCCTAAATACAGTCACACCTATGTAGCATACATCCACCAAGTTTCAAGTCTTCACTACGAATACTTTTAGTACAGTGTGTGTTTTACTGACGCTCCACAATGTGCTCCAGGTGAGCGCCACGGCGCTGCAGGGCGTAGGCACACTTGCATCCGGCGGGCAAAGTTGTCGATAACCCGATGGCTGTGCACTTTACAGAGTGCAGTGGCCTCTGGAGACAGTGCTCAGGGGGTGTGCTACCCCTGAAACGTTATTCTTATCGGGTTATCGGCAACTTTGCCCGCTGGATGCAGGTGTGCCTACGCCATGCAGCGCCGGGGCGCTCACCTGGAGCACATTGTGGAGCGTCCGTAAAACACACACTGTACTAAAAGTATTCGTAGTGAAGACTTGAAAATTGGTGGATGTCTGCTACATAGGTGTGACCTAAAGTGGCCGAAGTTTGGTGATGATCTGAATAAAACTTCCGAAGTTATTCGAATTTTGGTCATGACCGCTTTTTTGTGTCACCCTGTATAATGCCATGCAATATTCGTTTATTGATCTCCGGCGGCTATTGACATGCATGATCTCCGGCGTCATTTATTGCGTCAGCACCCCAGTTTTCCCCTGCGGACAGCTAGCCATCGCCCCTCGGTGTCTGACCTGCCACTGTGACCTGTCTGTGACCTCCCTCCGTGACCCGTGACCGTTCGCCGTGCCCTCAGATCCGCGCCAAGGTGGAGCCGGGCAAGTGGCGTCTGGCGCCGAACGCGCCGGCGCCGCTGGCCGGCCTGCTGCCCGGTGGCGAGCTGAACCCGGACGTGCCCGAGTTTGTGCCGCACTTTCTGCAGCAGTCGGCCCCGGCCGCCTCAGACTCCGGCTCCGGCCCCGCCGCCGCGTCCTCCGCCGACCCGGCGGCGGCCGGAGCCGAGCTGGCCGAGGAGGCACTGCCGCAGGAGGCGCGACGCGAAACTGGTGTGTGGTGGTGGAGGGGAGGGTCGTGGGGTGATGGGGTAGGGTAGTAAGAGAGGACGGCCGACACGTATGGTGGAGGGATGAGGTGGTGGGTATTGGAGCTCGTTATATATGATATTTAGCATAAATTTCTATACTCAATTACCCCATGTTCAGGATTCCTAAACACATAGCAGTGGTGTAATTTCGGTCTCAGAATGACAAGGTAATTGAGCAAATGACGCGTGAAAGATCAGGCTCAGTTCTTTTGACGGCATTGCTCGTTACTTCTTGGTATACCTAAACTTTGCTGCCTATTATTCTATCCAGCCATTATTTGATCTCAAATAGCAATCAGTCTCACGTCCGTTAAACTGTTGTTCTTATGCAACGAAGGTTTTTGTTTGTGCAGTTGCCGGATCAATGTGGTCGCTCTTCAACCAGCACTGCAGTGCTCCTACCGTTGATATATCTAATCTCGCGCTCGTCCATCCCTGACTCCGCCGAACCCTGGTGCCATTTCAACTCTGACTGTGACACTGAGTCTCACTTCAAGACCTTGACACTGACACTGACACTAGCACCCCTCCCTCCCCGCCTTACAGAGGGCGCGGTGGGTGTCCCGGCTGGCCGCAGCTCCTACCTGTCGCTGCTGACACTGACCCCCCTCCCCTCCTCTGTACCTTACAGAGGGCGCTATGGGTGTCCCGGCCGGCCGCAGCTCATACCTTTCGCTGCTCAACTCGCCCCCATTGTCGTCCAGCGCGCCAGAGTCCGAGTGGCGGCAGGTGAGGGACCCACAGACGGCGCCGGGACGCGAGGGACGGGTCACAGGCCGCGAGGAAGGGCACTGTGAGATGTTACGGACCCGACGGGATGTTTGGGAGAGTACCGGGGTTTGCGATGTTTTGGAGATCACCGGGGTGCGGGACAAGAGGTCTGCGAGGTCACGGGACTTGGAGACCACAGGGCTTGGAGACCAAAGGTCCCTCGCGGTGGGTTACTATTTGTGAGGTAAGTTTCCATGGTGGTTTGAATACAAGCGCGCTGACTCACTTTTGAAATAACGTGTGCCATACTTGACTTTTTGCGATCATCGGCGCAGGGAAGCCTTGAGTTGCGATCCGCTCAATTAGAGAAATTTTGAATTGTGACATCTTACACATAGTGCTATTATATTACATAATCATGGTTGTGTAAATATCATGCTGGGTTCGTGAATTTACCAACGTTGAAACAATGGTCTTCAATGAAGCATCAATCTAATTGCTCATTTTTACGCTTGTTTTCATTAAAACTGGGACGTATTTGTTGTCATTCCAATGCCACAATACCACCCTACCAGGAAAATGCAGTTCACCGTTTGACTTCATGAGCTTACACTTGTTTGGCTTTGAAGAGTTAAACTAATTACTTCATTGTTCTAAGTAACTATGTCTCTGTTGCGAGGATGATTTATGAGTCAGCTACATGAACCGATATATTTTAATGTTTTTGTCTGCCTCCTTTCAATGTAACCTGTTTGTGTTGACTGAGCCGTCTCTTATGGGCGCAGGTGCGGCGGCGCTCTCGCGAGCCGCGGCCCCGCGCCGGCGGTAACGCCACCTCGTCACCGGCGCCGGCCGTCGACGACCGCGAGGAGCTCAACTTCCAGTTCGATGAGGAGATCGAGTCCAAGGTGCCGGCCGGCGGCAGGAACAACACCTTCACCGACGACTGGTCAGTCATAACGCCGCCGCGGCTGCGCTGTGCCGGTGGAGGGACGCTTGTCTGGTGGTTAATGGTTACACTATTGACGAGTTCTCTCCGTCAGACTGGTAGTGGCTCGTTCGCCACAAGATACTTGTAATGGGTCAATTCGTAAAAAAAAAAAAAAATTTTGTTTTTTGGTTTCTGGGTTTCCAACGTCTGGGTTCCAATAGAACTGCGTGTCATTTTGAAGACGCAGCTAATTTTGCACCTTTCCTCGTATCTTTGTTTTATTATTTTATCGACGGGAGTCTACTTTCTTTTGTCTCGCGCTTTTAAATAGGGAAATTTCGAGTAAGCATGAGCTTGGATCCTGACGCCCTTCTTTATTCATTGTCTGTCCAGGTGGTAAGGCTATTGCGCAGTTCGGCGGTATTTGGTGCAATTTTATCGCAGGTTTATACACAGTACAGTGAACTTCAATTTAATTCATCCTTACGAAGTTACCGGATTATTTTGTTTCGCTCGTCATTTTGGCTTTGAATACGAGTATTCGCCATGAGGAGGAAATGGCAGAGAAAAAGAAGGCGAAGAGCTCGGTAAGCAAACTAGCATTGCTTGGGCAGAACAGCTGCTTTTAGCCATGAACTGGACGCGATACGTGACGCATTTCCATCATCTATTCTGTCTTTTCTTTTCTCTTGCGATATACGATTATGAAGTTGGAAGGTCCAAGATCGCACAAAAGTTAAGTCATTCACCTTGTATGTCCTGCGGGTTTCCCGGCGAGATCTGACCGAGACGTGTTCTACACAGGTCGGACGACGAGTCTGAGAACGATTTCCCGGACCGCGGCCTGGACAACCTGATGATCGTTACGCAGACACCCCCGCCGTCTCGACTGCCGAACCGGCCCGACAAGCACGAGGGCCACGACCGGACCGGCGACTACATCTCCCGGGTCAAGATGACCCAGGACCTGGCGTCGGCCATCAACGACGGCCTCTTCTACTACGAGCGCGACCTCTGGGAGCAGCCCGAATGGGTGAGTGGCGCGCCGAACACATCGGCAATCGATGTTTTTCTTTTGGTGCTTTTGAAATAAATGCATCTACAGAGAACCTCAGCACCGTCTAACCTAAATTTACTGATGAGCGTCTTGTGCTATTCTGTTGGATGATGTTTTTCCATGCAACGCTATACAACGCTACAATATAATGCTATAATACAAAGCTACTTCTACGTGTTTAATTGTTCTTTGGTGTCCCTCTCCAGGAAAATTTCTCAAATCAGAAAAACGTATCTGTGATATCGAGCGAGGAGTTCAGCAAGATAAAGCCGCCGTCTCCGAAGGCGTCCAACCAGCAGGTGCCGCCGCCCCCGCCGCCACTCCTCCAGCCGCCCGCCGACGACTCGAACCTCTCACGGTCGTTACCCGCCGATGTGAGTAAATCTACCCGTTACTCAGCGCTTATTAGTCGATGAAGAACGACTTTGTCTTTAGTTGTTTGTTTCGATAGTTTTTGTTTTTATTTCCTTGTAGTAGCTCGCTCAGGGCAGTTAGCCGCAGGTGGCGCTGCATACCGCTTCTCCCATTCCTCACAGCCAGCCTGTGCCCCAGCTGCCGAGGCCCCTCTGCCCGCCGCTCTGACGGAGCTCCCTGCCTGTCCGCCGACAGATCCCGATGACGCCCAAGGGCGCCGCGGGCCGGCAGGCGCCGACGACGCCGCGTACGCCGCATGGCAGCCGGCTGGACGCCAGCCAGGCGCCACGCTTCTACCCGGTGGTCAAGTCGAACCGGCCGCCCGACAAGATGACGCCCCGCAAGCGCAAGCTGCGCCACTCGCAGAACCCGCCGGTGGAGCACCACGTCGGCTGGGTGATGGACAGCCGGCGGCACCCGCCCTCGCGGCGCGAGCGCACCATCTCACAGACCAGCAACGCGAGCAACGTGAGCGGCACAAGTCCGTCCGAGGGCGGCCTGAGCACCAGCCTGGGCAGCACGCCCGGCGCGCTGCCGCAGTTCCAGCACCCGAGCCACGCGCTGCTCAAGGAGAACAACTTCACACAGCAGGTCTACCACAAGTACCGCGCCCGCTGCCTCAGAGGTGGGTGTCTGAACAAGAGGCGAACGGGTGGTGTGAGGAGACGTGTTTGCTGGGGAGCGTAAAGAGTGATTATCCCTCTGCTCGCTAAAAACTGTCTTTTGCGAGCAAAGGGATGCATCACTTTTATGTTGCCAAACGATAGAATATGTCGCCGTTTACTGAGCGCATGGCGTCAAACAGTTCAGCGACAGAAGGGTTGGAAATTGTCGTGTCGCTCAACGATAAGCTATGTCTGCCATGACTAATCGCTCGGTCCTGTCCACCCACAGAGCGTAAGCGCCTGGGCGTGGGCCAATCTCAGGAGATGAACACCCTGTTCCGATTCTGGTCGTTCTTCCTGCGTGACAACTTCAACCGTAAGATGTACGAGGAGTTCCGCCAGCTGGCCAATGAGGACGCCGTCGATGGGTACAGGTGAGAAGCGATGGGAATGAGAGGGCTGATCCCTCCTGCGGAAATGAGGTCGGCACTCAGCACTGCCGTGTCTTACTAAGTAGTCTCTTGTAGATGCACCGGCACAGGCGAATGGGGGGGGGGGGGCTACATTTGTGGATGAATTTGAAAATGGTAGGAAGGGTGAATGAATGAATGAATGAATGAATGAATGAATGAATGAATGAATGAATGAATGAATGAATGAATGAATGAAAGGACGATTATTAAATAAGATCTGGGAGATCGTATGAAAACACATGTGTTGTTTGGGTGAAAACTTTTTCACCCAAACAACACATGTGAGATGCTCTTGAGTGCGATAGGGTTTTTGGGTGCGGAGATAAGCGATAGCATGCAACTGGGACAATTATTGCTGAACGACTGTCATAATTCGAGCGCACGTAATCATTTGGGCGAGTGCGGTGCATGACGAGTCCGATGCTGAGATCGGGCGGCTGTTTCGCTGTGGTATCTCTCGGTGATTAATGGTCGTTCGTTGTCCCGCAGGTACGGACTGGAGTGCCTGTTCCGATTCTACAGCTATGGCCTGGAGCGGCGCTTCAGGCCAGAGCTCTACCTCCACTTCCAGGAGGAGACGCTAAAGGACTTCGAGACGGGTGAGTCGGTGGGCGAGGATGTCAGGATTTCTCACACAAATGCAGTCCTAAACATTTCAGACTCCAGCGCCTGATTTTACTTTCGTTTCACACCTTATCTCGGCCATACTGACGCTTTTGTCCGTTTTGCAGGTCAGCTGTACGGTCTGGAGAAGTTTTGGGCGTTCAAGAAGTACTACCGCCAGGCGCGCTCTCTGGACACGCTGCCTGAGCTGCAGGCGGCGCTCAAAGACTTCCGGCGACTCGAGGACTTCCGCGTGCTGCCGGTGAGTGGGGACCGTCCTGCTAGGACGCGGCGCCAACTGACATTCGAACTTAGACAAGCAAGCCCGCACACGGTATTACCTAGAGGGAACTGGCCAGGAGACTTGTAACATTTAGTGGGTCTGCCTATTTGCGACTGACTAAGAGCACTCATACGATGGTACCGCGATATAATGCTGGGTTCTTATTTGTTTTCAGGCTGCTTACAGGCATCCGGCTGCTCACAATGCAGTGAATCTGGTTTACCAGTTACATTCCGTCACCTTTGTGTGCGGATTTGTGCGTAGCTATCTGATGGCGCGATCCGTTGGGTCCGTAGGTGCCGTGTTCACTGTTCAGTGTCGCTGTGGTCCGTGTGTGACGATGATGCCGCTGTCCGACAGCCGGCCGGCGAGGAGGACGGCTCCGGCCGCCGCAGTCGGCACACGTCCGACTCGGCGCAGGGCCGGCCGCGGCAGCAGGGGCGGCGCGGCACCAGCTCAGAGGCGGCGCGCGGCCACGGGCGCGGCGGCGGCCGCGGCGCGCGCAGCCGCACCACCTCGGAGGGCGAGGGCGGCGCGCACTACCGGCGGCAGCAGCAGCAGCAGCAGCCGGCCAAGGTGGAAACCCAGGAGCTTAGGGCGGCGCCGGCCGTCAGCGCGTCGGCCTCCAGCTAGAGGTCCGGCCGGCCGGCCGACAGGTGTCGATGGGACGCAGGCCGGCGGTCGCGCGGGCCGCCCGGTGCCATACGAGGGCGGCCCGCCGGCCGGACGCCGGTGCCGGGTTTTCTCTCAGTGTTTTGCCGCCCGGTGCGGCGCGCCGGCGTTGTTTATCTTTGTGCGTGGCGGTCCGGCCGCCCAAGTGGTTCTCCCAGGCGTCCGGCTAAACGGGGGCGGCCCCAAATAAACGGGAGCCGCTTTCCCATGGGATTGTTTATGTAACCGTGGGAGGCGCGAAATGCTCTCCGTCCCGCGTCCGACCGCCGTCCGCCCGACCGTGCCCAGCGGCGCCGCGACGGTCGCTTTTTGCGTGGTTGGCGCGGCGCCTCGGCCCCTCCTGCATAAGTGCATTGGAATACCATCATTACGGGCGTCTGGCGGCGGAAGGCGCGGCTCCCGGTGAAAACAATCGAATTAATCGCCGCTGCTGCTGGGACGGCGGCGGCGTCTGGCCGCCTGGTCCGGAGAAGGAGTGCCCTGCCGCTGGCACGGCGGCGGCGAGTACAATGGCGCGCGGGGCGGCCGGCCGGCCGGCCAGCCCCGCCGCGCGCGAGACACGATCGAGAGGGGTCTCGAGCTGATGTGAGCCGACAATACGCGGAGGACAGGGAGCGGTGTGTTTGGCGTGTACAGTGCTGCCGATGGCGGACCGCAGGGATCTGGGCTGCCGTGATTGGTGGCGCGTCCGATGCGCTCGCGGACTCTTACCGCACGTAGTGGCGTGTAGTGACTGTAGTGTGCGGTAACTATGGTGAAAAAGCAAAAAAAGATGCGTGCGGAGTGTCGCGCGCCGTTCGCCGCGCCCGATGAAGACAGCGCTCGCCGAGTGTGTGCGCGCGGTCGTGTGAGTGCGAGTGATCGAGTGAGTGAGTTGAGGATATAGCTGCGGCGCGCCGTTTTTTCTGACTTGTTGGTGTTTTGCGTCCTGTGGCCGGCGGTGTGAGGCAGGAGAGTGAGAATATCAGGCTGTTATGTGGTTGGTGCGTGGGCCGGGCTGGGGACAACGCGGCGCCGTGGCCGGTCCGTGCGCGGCCGGCCGGGCGGCGGACCGCGCGCCCCGCTACCCACTGACAACCCACGGTCTGCCCACAGTGTGCGTGCGCAATCCCGGCGGGTTTTCAATTAATTTGGGTCCAAGATAACGCTTTTTGGTGACGTCATTTATTTGGTGTGGATGCCTGCCAGCACGCGTCGTCACGACCTTTCTCCGTCAGGTTTTCGGCCGGCGCTCGGCTGTCGGGTGCCGCCAGCGCAAGAGCGCGTTTTTGTTTTGTAGGCTTCTTGTGCGGCTGTTCTCTGTTTGCTGTCCGTTTCTCGGTGCCTTTCTCGTGTGGGCGGCTGGCGGGCGGTCGGGCCGGCGCGGCCCGGCCCCCGCCCCCGCCAGCACCCTGCGCGCGCGGCCGCGGCCGGCGCCGCGTCGGTCCGGGCCGGCGGGCGCCCGGCTCGGCCGCCGCCTCTGGCTTCTCTCTGTCTCCGGGGACGGTGGCTGTCTCCCTGCTAGCTCGTTCGACGCGTCTGTGTCGCTGTCGCGCCTGCGGTGCCTTTATATGGTTGAGGGTAAATGTGGAGTGGATCGATAATTTCTTGCTAGTGGGAGTCTTGTAATTATAGCAAGGGATTGCGTTGTAATATAGTATGACCGAAAATCACAAATATGCGTTTTTATGAGGTAGCTGAGACGGCATTGTCGTTCTGATTTGTGGCTGATTCAATCCTCGAAGTTCGTCGAAATGAAAGAATGTCTAGTGCAGCTAACAGCAGAGACCAGGGTTTATTGAACTGGGTGGGACCACTGCGGTAGTGAAACAGTATCGCGACTGATGGTGAGCTAAGAGCTTCCTGATGGCTCGTTGAATCGATCACATGACTAGCATGAACTCAGAACTGTTCACATCGGACCTGTAGAAAGGCGCTAATACACAATCGGGACATCAAGCCAGCTACTCCGGGGCACCGTGGGAAGTTTCTCGATCAATACCTGCACGAAAATACCCTCGCTAATGGGCAGAGGCTCCAATACAGACACACTCGCACCGGCCCGGTACCGGAACTCAGGTGCACACAGCGCACCCTCCTCCAGGGGTGCCGCTGGGTCCAGGGTACATACACCTCCCGTCGCTCCAGACACGTTTCCGGCCGGTGCCGTCTCTGACCGGGGTCTGTTCATGTAACAGGCGTCTGCTTATGACACGCCTGTTTCCCTGATTTGTTTGCTCGTACGACCCAGCCCCAGACGGCCTGTCTGTTGACTGCTCCCTCTGAGTCGTGCATCATCTGGGAAATGCGTGGGGTCCTGGGTCTGGGTTTGTATGTGTCCATGCCTGCGCAGTGCGCCCCGAACATTTCCGCCTGACCCGTGTCTGGCAATTGTTATCAGTTACCTTGGCCTAGGCCCAAGGACTCGGGTCCTAGTGTAACATCCGTCGGCCGGAGTATGTACATTTCTATGACCCGTCTGCCCGTGGTCTGTATATCCGTTTCCAGTTTCCCCCGGTCGCGGTGGTTCCGTCTGCCCTGACTGTTGTCCGTTCTCCCAGGCCATGGGCCGTGGGCCGCGTCTGCCCCGACTGTCCCGGTCCGTATTCCCGCGGGCTCCACCTGGCCCGCTGTGACCCGCGCCGCTCTCCCACACCCTGTGTGACCTGCATCCGTCCCGGGGCCGGCGCCGCGCCGCTCCGCGCCATTATTCAGCGCCACTGGCGCCGCGTCGCCGCCCGTAAATCGTCGGCCGTCGGCGGCGACACGCCGGCCGAGTCCCGTCGGCGCCGACGGCGTCTGACGCGGCGAGCAGCTCCTCCGGTATCGGTGAGCGTGGCTCTATCAGCGACCACCGTACGGGATTTCCTACACGATCGATCATTCTTTCATCACTTCCAACGACTTAAGTACTCTCTCAATGCATCACCTACCAAAGCATTTCTTGCATCATGGTTGGGGTGCACTGCTTGAGCATCGTGCAGCGGTCGCTTCTCGTTTCCACATCTCAAGAACTGCAGCTGCAGGCCGATTGCGCACAAATTTGACACCCTGCTTGAGACCGGTTAGTCGGGCATTCGGTGTCCTGCATGGACGGACATTGGTACTCTGCGCACATTAGTTGGGGTCCCACTTCGCACTTAGCTCGTGCAGGGCTTAGCTCACTTTTGCGCTAGCTCGGTTGCTGTTCCAAAGGAAGAGCTTAAGTATAAATAAATAAGATTTTGTATGAACGAGGAAACTAAACGCCAAACGGTAAACGGTAAAATTATTTCGATGCATTTCTGTGCGCCATTTTCGTAAACGGTTTCCGTGGAACTGGACTTTCCTCGCAATCGATAAACGGCGACCCGTGACCGGAAACAATAAACGTTTTTCCTCTTGGATTTCGGTAAAACGCGACAAGACAAGAAGTCGTGCATTAACGAATTTAACAAATTAAAGTGCATTAAAGGGACTATCCCACCTTTAACATGGGGTTTGAGTTGAGATAGCCAAGTTTGCGGCGAGGTTCAGAAACCACTATCTATCTAGGTTGCAACCCCCGCGGCCTCTTGGTGTTGAAGAAATTCGTTCCCTTCATTTGAAAATGGGCCTTGTACAAGGCCCTATCTTCAACATGGAGCGACCGTTAGTGTGACGTCACCTCGTTTAGTCATTCTGATTTAAATGGGTTTGTTCGTTGAAAAATCGCTTAAAACTTGGTCTGAACATTGTTGTGGTGCCTACAGAGTAAAAAGAATCAGCTTTATGACAGTAATGTGGCCTGGGGAAGGAGGTAATTTTGGGCTGTGACGTCACATATTTGAAAGTTTGTGTTTGGAATATGGGAAGCCTAAGATGTTTACTGAAAAATAAATGCCAGAACCGTGTTCCTGGTCAACCAATCTATAAAGTCGGGCACAATTTAACTGGTTTTAACAACATTTTAGAAGGTGGGATAGTCCCTTTAAACTGCGAGTAGGTAGACCAAATCTTAACCCGCGCCCGGCTGGGGGTCCTGGATTTCCACGCCCTGCTGGGGGGGGGGTGTTTGAACACCCCCCCTTGTAACTCGGCTCCTGGGCCACGTAGCGATACGCGGAAGGCGGCGTTCGAAAGAGCGTCAAAAATAATGACGAAATCACTTCGGTCAATTTTTTGGTCAGGTCAAAGGTCAGGTCACCAGAGGTCATTGAAGGCAAAATTTCGCCGATTTCCAGGTCGAATGTCGAAAATTTCCAAGAAGCCAACGCATAACTCGGGAACCAATAGAGCTACAGCGCCGCGGAAAAGCGCATTCGATAGCCCTATTAACGCCCTTTCTGAGTAATTTTCTCAGATTTGACCTAACGTCAACGGTTTTGCCTGCAGGGGGCAAAAACTGCAAAAATAGCCGATATTTTCGAAAACAGTTTTTCTGCAATAACTTTTGACCCAAGCCTTGTACGAGCTTACTTTTACCGGCATCGTGTTCCTCTCGTCAAGACGCATCGAATGAACTATAACTTGACCTTGAAAGGTCAACTTGAAAATTTGACCTCAGGTCAAGGTCATGACCTGACCGGAAAGGGTCATGCTGCATATCAGTCGATCCGTATCGTCGAGCTGAACACATCTAAGGCGTTTTCATCGCTCTAGCATGCCTCTATCAAAAGTTATTTGCGAAAAACTGTTAGATACCATTCGTGACCTAAGATGACCTCAGGGCATAAACAAGGGTCACGGACACCATTTTCATGTTCAGTGTGTCTAAACCACTTGTAATTCAGTGTTTGGGAGTGTTTATAATGTCTTTCGTCCAAAAGAGGCGCATTTCAATTTTCTCCCATTGACTTATAATGGGGAGGTCGCAAAATTGACCTGACCTTAGGTCACCGATATCAAAATTCCGAGATATACATTTTATAGATACTGTTACCCTTATCAATCGCTGAACGTTTCAAAGCGATCGGTCACTCGGTGTAGCTATGACAGACATTGAAACTTTTTATGAGGTGAGGTCACTTCAAGTGACCTGGTGACCTGACCTTGAATGACCGTGGTCTGAAATTTTCACAACATGTGTAGAATTGATGTATGATAAGGTGTACCAAAAACGGCGGCGCTCCGCGCCGCCGTTTTTGAGATATTCGCGAAAAACCACAAGGGGGGGTGTTCAAACACCCCCCCCCCCAGCAGGGCGCGGGTTAAACGTCGAGCCGATAGGCAAGACGTTTAAAAGTTTTTTTCTACCTACGAGCGGTTTAGTTATTTTATCACGTACCACCGACATCTTTCGGGCGCTTAAAGGTAAAAAATACATTTTATGTAAAAAATGCGACATATTTCAGACTAGACGAAATGTCTATTATACGTTTACCATTTTGTTAAACGTCTAGACGTTTAACAAATCAGTTAAACGACATTTGATAACTTTCTCTCTTTGCACGTGAAGCAATTGTAAACACTGTCTTACGGTGCGGGATAATATATATTCAACGAATTAGTGCTACGATTTCGATTGTCGTTACGAGTGGGTTAAAAATGATTAGATGGACTAAACCAGTAAAACGCCTTTTGGGCGAAGAACGAGCGAGCGAGATAGTGAGCCCTGCACGTGCGGAAGGGCGAGAGGGTACTTCCAACGGGCTTGCACAAAGCACCCTTCTAACCGGTCGCTAGCGGTGTACCAAATTTGAACGCAATCGGCCCAGCCGTTCCTGAGATCTGGAAGCGGCACTCTGCACGTGCGCACGTGCAAACAGGGTCCAAACTGACTTTTGCACGGCACCCTAGGCCCTACTAACTGGTCCCCAACCGTGTACCAAATTTGAGCGCAATCGGCCCAGCCGTTCTCGAGATCTGGAAGCGCCCCCTGCACGTGCGCACGTGCAGTAGCACCTTAACCGCAGCACATGGGAATGCATTGCCTGGTGGGTGCAGGTGCGTAACCACGAGTCCGAAGTCACTGGGGACCACATGGAGGGCTGCGAAGACCAAATTTTATATTTCAGGATCAGCCTTCGCCCGAGTGGGGGGAGGGGGGGGGGCGTTTTTGGACACACCTGCCATTTTTTTGCGCGTTTAAGGGAAACCGCCGCTCGCACCGCCGCGAAACTTGGAATAGCTTATGATACCTCAATTTCGCATCATGTGTGAAGATTTTGACCCCAGGTCAGCTGAGGTCAGGTCACCAGGTCAAGTAAAGTAACTATGCCTCTAAAAAACTATGCGACTGTCATTCCTACAGTAAACATCCCAAAAGTTTGAAACTCGAGCTTTTGCATGAGGAAATCAGTGTGAACTATTCGCATATCTCTCAATTCTTCACATCGGTGACCTAAAGTCATGTCAATTTTGCGAACTCTCCGTTTTCCAATTTTCCAATTTTCTCCCATAAGTCAATGGGAGAAAATTGAAATGATCTTCTTAAGGCCGAAAACACATTGAAACACCGTGACACAGGTAAAAATGGCACACTGAACGATGAACCGGTTAATTGCAACTGTGGCCCCTTGTATGCCCTTGAGGTCATCTCAGGTCATGAAACATCTCCATGAGTTTTTTACCATAACTTTAGGTAGAAATATGCTAGAGCGCTGAAAACACGATAAATGTGTTCAGCTCAACAATACTAACCGAATGACATGCAACATGACCTTTTCCGTGACCATGACCAGAGTTCAATATTTCCAGACTTATAATTTATTCGACGC